CCACTAAGAATGCGGCGAAAAGCGCGGCGGCTCACCAGACAGTATATGATCAAGGATACGATCGCGCATCCGTCGATCATTCTTCTGTCGCCGGCCATGGAGCGCATGACGACGACTATTTAGGTCATGAGTACGACGATGAACCCATTCCTATGCCACCGCCTGCACCGCCCAATTCTTTCAAGACGCCGCCGCCGCCCGGACATCTAGTCAAGCCAACGACTCCCCCGCCGCATATGCAGGCAAGCATAGATGCGTCAAGTACTCGACCACCCTGACAATGGGCGCGGACGGCCTTGGGGGTACACACCTTTCGCAGCATCTTCCGACCGATTCCATTCCGAGGGCCGTTCGGATGGCGTTCGAGTGGTACCTCTACCCCCATGATGAAGGTCGCTGCTCATTTTCCTTTGTCTCAACTGCTTTTTTGCGTCGAGTATTCTCTCCTTGCCTTTTGTTTTTGCTTAATTTAAGTTTTAGCCTTGTTCTCTCAGCTGTTCTTTCCGCAGGTTTTGCATTTATGAAATCCCCACTCCAATCACATATCTTGATGAACATCACGACAACGTCACGGAGCATTGAATCCGGCAGGTAAACTGCACTTGCATCCATGTTAGTCGTGTTCAGGTCCTTTTTGTCCTGGGGGGTCACAGCATTCCGGTACGCATATTGGGGTGGCATGTTCGGTTGGGTTTAAAACGGCAGGATAGTCGGTGGAATTACGGGTTCTCGTATTTGGTTTTACGGAGACAACCAGCATGGAAAGGTGCATCTTGGGTCGTTGGTTGGCGCTACAGATTGTTAATAGTCCAGAGTTTGTTGAGTTAGAGGGCAGGATCAGTCGATCGGTGTCAGCGTGTAGCAATGTGAATATCATCTGGGGTTGAATAACTACTCGATTGGACATGGCCCATGGGGTCACATCTTGCCTGGACGGCCCAGGATGTCTGATTGTGTTTCCATCTATGAAAAAGAAGTTTGTGCAGAGCCATAAATAGATTCAAGCAGAAACTGTCAACCAGTCGCTGCCGTTGGCGCTTCCGATGACACAAGCTGATTTTAGCAGATCGCTGCCACCACAGCCGCCCAGTTTGTCATGGACCTTGATCATGCAGCAAAAGCCAATAAGACAATAGTCTCACTTCTGTCTATTCAGCGTCTGAAACGACGGCTTACTGTCGTTTGTCGCACTGAATTATCCTTGAGGCCCGGGGATCAGCTTAGCCGCGCGCGAAGCAAAAAAGCCAGGCGCCGTCATGCTACAGAGCACTCTGTTTCAGGACAGCTCCAGCAAGGTCAATCTGATGGATGAGAAGAGAAGGCTTGGGAGAAATGGTTGAAACGACAAAGAACGTATTGTGTCGGCTTTGAAAGAGAGTCTGTATCAGAGCTGTGTGCGATAGGTATATAAAGACCAAAGGAGTCAGTGTCAGAACGAGACGAACAACAAGTGGCATACACGCAACACTCTTTCTACTCTTTTTCTTTTTTCTTCTGGCTAGATTTCATTGATTGTCTCTTTGTCATTCGTCGTTGAAAAAGTTGAGGCCCTGCTAGACTCAGGGTTTCATTCATTGTCTGATTGTGGCATCACAGTCTTTGCTCTGCGAAGTCGGCTTCCAGGGGACTCTGAGAGACTTTGAAATACTCCGTCACATCTACTCGTTGCGCTGGACGCAATATTCTGTCAAGAAGACTCTCTTTTAACTCTACCGCGATTATAATCTCTCTGCTCGTTCAACTACGACTACATACCACATCTACAGCCGATACAGCCAAGCTCACTTGACACCACAACCTAGGTCTACAGTGTCCTATTCCAATGTGGTTCCTCATCCTCAAGCTCCTCCGCATCGGCGTTAAAGAAGCCAAAAAGCACAAGGCCAAGAAGAACGCGGCCAACACCAGCACAACCGACTCCGAAAGCATCAACCTCAACCGCGACACCAACATGCCTTGCCCCGCTGACTCCACCACAGCCCGGAACCCCCTCATCACCCTCCTCGAGACCATCCTCCGCTTCATCCAGTTCGTCTTCGGCCTCACAGTCATAGGCCTCTACGGAAGGGATCTCCACGGCGAAGACAAGGCCGCCGCCCCGGCGAAATGGGTGTACGCGGTCGTCACGGCGTTTCTTGCTGTCATGACAGCAGCCGTCTACCTCGTCTTGCCGTTTGTGATGGAGGGGCGGACGCCGGTGGCGCGGCGGGCGAGAGTGCAGCTGCCGCTGTTTGTCTGGGAGAGTGTGCTGTGTGTGCTTTGGTTGACGCTGTTTGGGATCTTTGGGAAGATGTATATTGGGAATTATAGTGAGGGGGATAAGGTGAAGCGGATGAGGCATGCGGTTTGGGTAGATCTGGTGAATTTGGGGTTGTGGGTTGTTACCATGGGGTGGGTTGGGTTGAGGTGGTGGAGGGGTGAAGGGGACAGGAGGGAGGGAGAGGGAGATGGAGGATGTCGAGAAGGCTAGTCCTTAGACGTTGAGTTGTTTGATGATATTGGAGGAAAGAGATGCTGCTGGCTAGTATTGGAGGCTAGGGAACTGTTGCTTGTTGCATATCAATGGAGAAAGCTGGTCGATCTCAGGTTACTGACGATACGGGTGATGGGAATGTGAAAATATACAGGCGATAACTTTCATAGATGGAGACAATCATATCCTGAATACACTGACACAAAACGCCCAACTCTTCGAGTCAACTCCAGTCCTCCAGTCGCCAATCCATGAGTCTCTACAGCCGGAGAACAAGAACGCCAGGCTAGTAAGCAATTCGTGGTCATCAATACATAATTCCAGGGCCGTTAGCATAGTACAAGCAGGCGAAGGTGTTAGTCGTGATAGTCCCATTCACTGAGCGTGTCATAATAACACCGGGGTAACTTCACCGGTCCCAAATTCTCTTCCTCAGGATCAATCTCTTCATATACGAGCGTCCCGTTCCTGCGGCGCTCTTCAATCTCCATACCAAGCAGGCTCTCCAGCCGTTTTAGCGGCGAGGGCGTATAATGAAAGAAAGATCTGGGTATTTCTCCCGCGCTGTTAAGGAAGCTGCCATTGGACTCTGCTGCGTCGGCGTTGTACTCGCTTGTCATCGAGACGTCGACGGAGGTGGGCGCTGTTGAAGCATTGCCGTTTGAGTTGCCAAAGGTTGACGACTCAAATGTCGTACTAAGGCTAATTCCCTCGCTACCGAAGGATTCGTGCTGCTGCTGGTGCTGCTGCAGCAGTTCCATTTTCTCGAAGAAGGAGGCCAAAAAGAGCTGTTCCTCCCACATTCTCTTCAGGAAGACAGCTCGGAACTCTGCATGAACGATGGCTCGGGGCGGTGGCCTGTAGTATTCAATATACAGGTAGCGAATGTCGCGGAATTTGTTGGGAATCTGTGACCGGAAGCCCATGGTGAGAGGTGCGGTTTTGTAGCTCGCTTTTCGCGGCCTGAGCTTGAGAAGGAGTTTTAGGTTGGCCAGGAAACTCGGTGGCAGCTCAGGCTGTTCTGCTGGCATGAGTTTTTCAATGTGCTTCGGAAGTGGTATGGCTTCTGTGAGCGTCCATTAGAGGTCGACGCGATGGTTCAACACACGGTGCTCGAGGCGTCCCGATAGGCATATGGCCCGAATAGAGGGCTTACCTTTCAGTTCCGGAGACGGGCTGCGAGTAACTTCTCGCTCCGGCAAGTGTACCTCGGGCTCGACATATTCCTCTGTCTTTTCTGCTCTCTTTGTGAACGCTCCATGCTGCGGGCTTTGAGTCCGAGTGGACTTGACACCAGAGGTCGACTGAGAGGACTTGCGACGAAGGATGGCGGGTCGCCGCTTCGAGCCCCTTGCCGTCTTACTCGCGACAAACTGAGTCTTCTTGTGACTATGGCGACAAGTAGACACGTCTGTCGCAGAAGTGATAGCAGTTGCTGGAGTTGCTGAGTTTACTGCTTCGCAAGTACTGTTATCGTCATTGTCGTCTGTTATGAGCCAACGGGTCGTTTTATGTGTTTCTTTCGGAGCGGCATTGGGTTTCTTCAAAATGGACTGCAGAGACCCTCTATGAGCTGCCTGGTTGCTGAGACGCTCTGGTAACTTCCCCTCACTCTTGTTCTTCCTCAGGGATGGATTTGTGTTCGATGGGACCTATCTCAAAGTTAGCGGGGAGGCCAATAGAGACACGAATCACCCGAAGATGGCTACGTACCTCGCTCACTTTTGAAGCGGTAGACTCAGAGATGCGCATAAACAACTTGGCCACAGTCGCGCCGGGAAGAGAGATGCGAAGACACTCATTGCTCCAAAGCCTCCAAAAGAAGTTCGCCAATCTGTATCCAATGATGCCTTCGAGCGCTGAGGGCTTGACATTGTAGGCTGATCATAGAGATCAGTCACTTTGGGTCAAAGGCGCGATCTTAAGGAGCAAGAAGAAGTACCTTTCCATAAGAGCGTAATGTCCTGAACATGCACTGGCATCGAATCATCAAATGAGGACGGGAGAGTCTTTGTAGTGGAAAGCAAGCCTTCAGGAAGTTCATCCATAGTGGACATTGTACTCTCTGAGACGGAGCGGGTAGACGTAGAGTGGTAGAAGGAAGAGGTTCATCTGAGTCTGCCCATGGTCTAAACAATTGGAAGAAGCGTTAGACTAGGTCAAAGCAAGTTGTGTATGATGATATCAGACTGTTGTCTCGAAGGCCACAGCATAAAGGCGAATATGAATATTCACGTTTGTAAACAGGACATCGCGAGGAGGTTGGGACATCAGGTCTGGCTGTGAATTCCAACATGAACAAAGCAGACTGTGCTGAGGTAAACAAACACAAGAGGTGGCAGGGGACTGAAGGTCTGAGGTGAGGTGAGGATCAGTTAATAGTACAGGATTCAGAGTCAACAAGTACAACCAGCCGTCGGCAACTCTCATCTGAGAGTCAGGCACCGAGGACTCAATCAGTGACACATGGGTAAATTGCTGCAGCGTGTTCCTAAGAAGAGGTAGAGTTGGATTCTGTTTGTATATCTGTAAGTTTCCTCCCAGCTAGGCCTACAATGCGAGACAGTGCTGCCAGGATTAGTGGTTCTGATCTATATACAGGAACACAACGAGTGTCATTACCTGGAGGAGGACAGGAAAAGGCAGAAAGGACCTGGATGAGAGAAAAATCCAGACTAGACGTGGTCCAGAACAAGATTACTGTGAGAAATTCTGATAAACAGTGCGAGATATATGGCTAGGATTGGTATATATTGACGAGATTTACGAGAGAGGGCGACAAGTGGGCAGATATAAAAAGAGAGAAGTACAAACATACTTAATCATTCTAATCAGAGACGTTGAACTACTTGACTCTAGCTGAAGTGGTAGAAGAGTGGTGTTGATCATGATTAACACAAAACAGCGTCAGGAAATGTCATCGGCAGGCCCCAGCTCAAAGAAAGTTCCTGGGTTTTACCTTGCGGGGGATTTGGAGCGGCTCGGATAGAGATCCATCCATTGTTGCTCTTTTGCAAACGTGATATCTGGATCCTTGATTTTGGAGAAAAGTAAGGAACAGGAGTTAGCTAGAGTCGATTATGAGACAATGATGGTGAGGCGAACGAGGATGGTGAATGGGACGAGGACGGTCCAACAAGAAGGAAACATTCTAGAAGGCTAGACGATGATTCGAGGAGGGCGGCAGGTATCTACTTATATTAGGTAGACTATGCAATCCTCTAACTGGATATAAATCAACTGAGTACCAGCCAAGTGCGTCGTAACGGATCATGTGCTCCGTATTGTTTTGACCAATCTCGTAGACAAAAAGACGGGACAAGGTAGCCGGATTTGTCCGGAAGAGTGACTCTATACAAATTCAATCAGTGTGATGCACACTTAAAATCATGTAATATCCTAGAATAGTATAATATCTAGTGTCTCACCGATTATCGTTGGTAACCGGAGAATCGACCCAATATCCTATGGAGCAGGACTTGCATAATTGCAGGGCACAGGCCGCCTATCATTGATACCTGAGGCACCAAGAGAAAGCCAGGCACCCAGGCACACCAACCCGGATCAAGACGGACGAACCAGTGAGCGTTGATTATTAAGGTACCCCGGATGCTGCGTCCGGGATCGGGTGCGACACCGAATAATTGCCCGATTTTCTGGTCGCGACTCAATTTTTCCCTTTGGGGTTCTTGTTCTTTGGCCATTTCTGTGATACCCTCTTTTGTTTTCCTTGGTCAATTTGCATTGTATCTTTAAGTATAGCTCATGATGTTTGTATGTCCTCCCACACTCGTTTCCTTTCTTCCATACTATTGTTCAATGACTGACTTCTGAAGAAACGCACCGGATCTTTGCTGCTTCGGTGCAGAGCATCGCGAGCCCCCGTTATCGGTCGACCTTTGATCTCATTGTCAACCTCCTCCACCTCCCTATCTCTATCTCGTTCTCGATCCTTTGCCACTACATCCCTTCGCCGTCACGCTGAGGCATCATCCTCCACGACACAAACCTCTCCTTCGTCGTCGAGTTGGCTCGCCCCCGATGCCGCCCCCGCGTCCCTCAGACCCTTACCGAGAAGATCGTACAGGCGTATTCCCTGGGTCTCGCCGAAGGCCAATACGTCAAGGCTGGAGACTATGTGATGCTGAGCCCCCATCGTTGTATGACCCACGACAACTCATGGCCCACCGCGCTCAAGTTTATGGCAATTGGCGCATCCAAGGTCCACAACCCCGATCAGATTGTCATGACCTTAGACCACGATGTCCAGAACAAGAGCGAGAAGAACCTGAAGAAATACGAATCGATTGAGAAGTTTGCCAACCAGCATGGCATCGACTTCTACCCAGCCGGTCACGGTGTCGGCCATCAGATCATGATTGAGGAGGGATATGCCTTCCCCGGCACCGTCACTGTGGCTAGTGACAGTCACTCCAACATGTACGGTGGCGTTGGTTGTCTCGGTACTCCCATGGTTCGTACCGATGCCGCGACTATCTGGGCTACCGGCCGTACCTGGTGGAAGGTCCCCCCTATCGCAAAGGTGCAGTTCACCGGCACTCTCCCTGAGGGTGTCACCGGAAAGGACGTCATTGTCGCTTTGTCAGGTCTCTTCAACAAAGATGAGGTTCTGAACTACGCGATTGAGTTTACTGGCTCGGAGGAGACCATGAAGAGTCTCTCTGTCGACACCCGTCTGACCATCGCCAACATGACCACCGAATGGGGCGCGCTGACCGGACTGTTCCCCATCGACTCGACCCTGGAGCAGTGGCTGAGACGCAGGGCCGCTACCGCACCACGCACGGAGACGGCGCGTCGATTTGCCGAGGAGCGTATCAACGAGTTGTTCGCCAACCCCACCGTCGCTGACCGTGGAGCCAAGTACGCCAAATATCTGTACCTGGATCTGTCGACCCTGTCGCCCTACGTTTCCGGACCGAACTCCGTCAAGGTCGCCACCCCCATTGACGAACTGGAGAAGCAAAAGCTGAAGATCGACAAAGCCTACTTGGTATCCTGCACTAACTCGAGAGCGTCGGATATTGCCGCCGCGGCCAAGGTGTTCAAGGACGCCGTTGCCAGGACGGGTGGGCCTGTGAAGGTCGCGGACGGCGTCGAGTTCTACGTCGCGGCGGCTTCCAAGGCTGAACAGAAGATTGCAGAGGAGGCAGGTGACTGGCAAGCTCTGATAGACGCCGGCGCTATCCCCCTGCCAGCGGGTTGCGCCGTCTGTATTGGTCTGGGTGCCGGTCTCCTCAAGGAGGGCGAAGTTGGAATCTCAGCCAGTAACCGAAACTTCAAGGGCCGCATGGGTTCCCCTGATGCCAAGGCCTATCTTGCCAGTCCTGAAGTTGTCGCGGCCAGTGCACGTATGTCATCTCTCTATTGGTGTACCTTACCTGTAAGAAATCGCTAACTCTGGCTAGTGAACGGTGCTATTAGCGGACCCGGCATCTACAAGCGCCCCGAAGACTGGGCCGGCGTCTCCATCGGTGAAGGAGAAGTTGTCGAGTCCGGCACTCGCATCGACACGACTTTGGAAGCAATGGAGAAGTTCATTGGACAGCTGGATAGCATGATCGAGTCGTCGAGCAAGGCCGTGATGCCGGAGGAGTCGACTGGCTCCGGGGCCGCCGAGGTGGACATCGTTCCCGGCTTCCCCGAGAAGATCGAGGGTGAAATCCTCTTCCTTGATGCTGATAACATCAGCACTGATGGCATCTACCCTGGTAAGCCTTCCAGACAGACCCTCTCGCTGTTTTCGCTAACGAACGTCACAGGCAAATACACATACCAGGACGACGTCACCAAGGACAAGATGGCGCAGGTCTGCATGGAGAACTACGATCCTGCCTTTACCGGCATCGCCCGCGCAGGAGGTTTGTCACCTTCCCTTCCCTGTCATCCTTTCCATCCCCCAGTGTCTAACACAAGTAAATAGACATCTTCGTCTCCGGCTTCAACTTCGGCTGCGGCTCCTCCCGCGAGCAAGCCGCCACCTCCATCCTTGCCAAGCAACTCCCCTCGTCGTCGCCGGCAGCATCGGCAACACCTTCAGCCGCAACGCCGTCAATAACGCCCTCCCTCTGCTCGAGATGCCTCGCCTCGTCGAGCGCCTGCGCGAAGCCTTTGGTAACGAAAAGCAACCCACCCGCCGCACGGGATGGACCTTCACCTGGAACGTGCGCACCTCCCAGGTCACCGTCCAGGAAGGCCCGGGCGGTGAAACCTGGAGCCAGAGCGTACCTGCTTTCCCGCCGAACCTGCAAGACATCATTGCCCAGGGCGGATTAGAGAAGTGGGTGAAGAAGGAGATTAGCAAGGCTTGATCGTGTACATGTACTTTTCAGTCAGTGTAAAAGATCCCCTTTTTTTTTCCTTTTCATGGGTGCATTGCGTGTTGAGCCTGGACCTGGACCTGGAGATAGTCTGGATGATTTGATATCCCTTAGAAGTTAGAATGGCCGGCGGAGAACTTTTCCGTCCGAATAGATACTTCCTTTTTATGTCTTTGAATGATTATGCTAAGATAGACCGCCAACTAAGAGTACTTCCTGTACAATCGGCTGGAGCCGAACCGATTTCCATACCCCATAACTGCCCCCTGATGATATTTCCACTGATATGGAGAACGATCCACTTTGGAGTATAACTCAACGGCTTTTGCAGCTGAGACATGACCATTCAACCACAGAACAAAACGCAATAGACTAGTTTATTATATGCAAAAGAAGAGAAAATCCACAATAATTTTCTTCCAGGGTAAAGAAATAAAATGCCATTTTTCGCTTGAACAGTACTCCTGCCCGAAAAGACATTCAAATGTCTCGTAATACAGCCGGATGAGGTATTAAGTGGCAGCTCACTACCGAAAGGAACAAATCAAATCAAAACGATCTATAGCGCTTCCAAAAGTCCCGTACATCGCTTCGTAAACAACTGCAAGAAATAGAGCATCGACATAAGGTGACAAGTCACACTTCCACTTTAGGTCAAAGTGTATCCACCGTCGACACGGAGATCCGCACCAGTAATGTACTTGGATGCGTCACTGAGGAGGAAGGTCACGGCGCCCATCAGGTCTTCAGGAGTGCCCATCTTTCCGACAGGAATGAGGGAGGTCCACTTGTCTCTGAGATCCGGCCTTTCATCGAGAATTTTGCGGGTCCTATAGAGGTTGACGACGTCAGCCTGTCGCTCAGAATATCAAGTAGAAGATGGTGGCTTACAGAGCAGTCAGCATGTATCCGGGGCTGATGCAGTTAACCCGAATGTCATGAGCGGCCCACTCTACAGCAAGAGAAGCGGCAAGGTGACGCACAGCAGCCTTGGCCGCATTGTAAGGAGCCTGGGGCTGAGGAACGTTGACAATGGCACCGGACATGCTTCCAATCAAGACCATGCTGCCCGGAGCCTTGCGTTCCATGAGATGCTTTGCGACACCAATTGCAAACAAGTATGTACCATCGACATTGACGCCCCAGAGCTTTTGCATGCGGTCGTAGGGGTAGGAGATGGCATCGAAGTTCTCGGTAAAACCAGCGGAAGTGACCAGGTGATCGATGCGGCCGTGCTTTGAGATAACTTCCGCAATTGCGTTGTTTACAGAGTCAGGGTTGGCCACGTCGGCGTAGTGAGCTGTAACGTTGGGCATTCTAGATAGAAGGAAAAAAAAAAGATGTTAGGATCTGCTACTGGCCAGAATGCCTGAGGTCTGCCAATCGACTTACTGTTCCAAGCCCGGATTTTCCTTCTTGAACTGTTCGACGAGCTTCTGAGCCTGCTCTTCAGCTTCCTTTCCTGTGGCGCATTAGCCATCATCTCCGGAATCCAACTGTTGCAATTAATCGCCTGAAACTTACGGTTTAAATCAACAATGGCCAAATCAGAGCCGGACGCAACAAGCGCCTGAGACATGACTAGACCAAGACCGCGAGCACCTCCTGTCACCAAGCTGATCTTGTTTTCTAGGGAGAACTGGGCAAGGGTACGCTTGAAATGCATTCCTCCACGGCCCTGGACGATGGGAGTACGGGGCATGTCCGCGTCATTGGGGTATTCAATTACAACGCTCTCATCAGTACGCGCGAATCGCCCTTCTACCTCCGAATCTTCCGTGTCCTTTTTTGCATCTTTCGCGCGAGGAATTGTGTACGAGAGGGGACGGAAGAAAGTCTTAGAGGCGGAAGACCGGAGAGGGGCAGCGAATGCAGCAGGGCGAGAGCTCTGATTGAGAGCTTTCGCGGCTTGACGAGCGACCGTGGATTTGAACATCGTATATGTGAGAGATATATGGATAGAAGATTGTACTTGGCGGGATATTGTCTTCAGGAGTAAGGGATGGGACAGGGAGGAGAGAGAGAGAGAGCAAACAAAGGTAAAAGAGCTTGAGAGAAGGAGAGGGAAAGTCCGAATAAGTACTCTAGGCGAGGGCAAATTTTAATAATAAATCCCAGAAGAAGGAATGGAAATAGAAGTGGTGACCTCCCTTGGTCAAGGAAGCAGATGGCACTCGGCGAGCTGGCAAATAATTATGCGCGTCCGCGGGTCCAGAAGTTGGCAAAGAAGGAAATAGAAAATGGAGGAGCTGGGAATGTAATTGTAGCCAGCGAGAGATAGTAAGTACGCAGTTAGTCGTGTGTATTAGGTACAACCATCAATTAAAAGTATCTAGTTACTGCTGCTGTGTAGAGAGGTATATACAAAAGCTGGAGCAATTGCGGTGAAATAAGTAGTACCTTGAATGGAACGCCGCACTGGGATATCCGATGGAACAGACAAGTCCGACAGAAGGAATTGCAGGCGTGACCTGGATGACTGGCGTATGATTCAGGATAAAATTCCCATTCGTAGGTTTCTTTTTCTGGAACATTTTCTTTTTCTAACAAGTTCTTCCTTTGTTTATATGTATTTCTGCGCGATGTCAGGCGGTGATGAAAAAACTGGGCCAGACCCCAACCGCCATGCAGCGATCCGGACCAAGATCTGCCATGCAGTGGGGGGTTTCTACCGGATTCCCAAGCCACTGGCCCATTAGGCATCCCGGCTTCGTCGCCGCGCTGCCCTTTTTCTTTCCGCATGACTCCAACACGACCCCTCGATCCTCGCGAGGTTTCACCAGCTAGTAGAAAATTCTGTCCATTAACCATCTTCCGGTATTTGTTGCTTTTATTTTCATTATTATCTTTTTATTCTTTTGTGTTCTCACTGGCATTAGCATTTCTAAGGAGTATCTGGATGTGTCCTCTATCTACCCCTTGCCCTCGTGTGCTTGTGAATGAGAACAAGTCGTACCCAAATAATGTTGGCATCAGAACTAGGAAAGATGTCGTACCTCCAATAATCGCTAATTCTATAATAGTAGTTGCAGTAATATTGTCAAAAACTCAATTCAACAATACTGTTAAGTCTGTTGGTAGAGTGAGTAGTAGCAAAGTATTGATCATGCACGCCACCGAGTCATCCGTTATGTCGATGTTTATCATCAGAAACATTTCATCCAATATTTATCACGACCTCTTCTTGTCAAGAAAAAGTAAAAATATACATCGAGTGCTTCAATTTTGAATATCCTGCATGCGTGCCAAATGCCAGCATCCATTTTATGGCAAGCTAACCGCTACAGCCTGCATGTACTCGGTTACTGGTACTTGCCTCCTGTAGATTATGTGCAAATGTGCCTCATAGGTGAGGAGATCATTAGTTTATTTGCCACATCTTAGCTGATCCTGTCGCGACCAAGTCTAAGCACTGTACTCTGTAGCACAAGAGGGATCGAGCGCACTAAGGAGCACGGTGTGGTCTACTATATTGATCAGTATAATTTTATATGACTAAATAGCTGGTGTCCAATTTAGACATGACTTCATGAGACCATAAGCACCTCCCTTAAGCAACCTAATCGCTCACCCCAAACTTAGGCTGATCAGTCCTTGCTTGACGTTTGGGTTTTTTTTTTTTTTTTTTTTTTTTTTAACAGGGAACTTGGTCTACATACAGTGACTACGCAATATTTTTGCACCACTCTCTGAGTGCTCAGTGCTGGCGATTGGCCGCTCACTGATTGCTCAGTTATAACTCAGAGACTGATTAGAGGCCTCTCACTATTGAGCATCCAGCCCACACTTGGTCCATACTGAAAACAGCGCACTCGGCCGGCCTCACAATACTCTTTAATTATGTTTAATTATGAACTCCTTTCTGATGGCCTAATCACCTTCAATTTCTTGAGGTGTTATTGCTTTTCCATCCCGAACCCCGGCCTCCCTAAAACAGGCGATGGAGCGAGATGACGCCAAAATGAAAGAAATGAACATATCTGATCAAAATGGACCTTACCATTCCTTGTGGGTTGGGGTTCGGATTAGTCATGGGCTTTTTCTGGCACTGCCAGAAACTCGAATCTCACTGCCAGAGCCATCTGGATATCCGTCAAAAGGCCATTTCCACATGGGTGCGAGATGCGCTTAACAAAGACACAGAACGCTGAAAGGAGGAAATCCGCAGACTGAATAAGGATGTTATCCACAGGGGTGATGTGCGATCTGATGCTATGGTAGTCACTGAGTGCTACAAGAAAAACAGCACTAAATGGCAATCTTTCCATATGCTATATGGCCTCACCCCGGACAATGTGAATGATCTCGGTATTGTTCTACAAATACCCTTGATGCTCTTTTTATCGCTAATATATTCTAGACCAACAGAAATTATTGAAATATAATACCACTAGGCTAAAAAGGTGTCCGGACATGGTTCCTATCAGTCTAGGGTCTCATATCCTTCGTTATATTTTTAAACAGAAATGCTATGGATCTCTGCAGGCCTTAGATAGAGCAGCTTCTATCCTGCTCGAGAACTGTCACGTGCCGAACCACCGGCGTACCTCCAGCGGGGGCCCGCTCCCTCGCTTGGATAATAGTTTGTCTGAACTCCGCACACGCAGAATAGAAATAGGGGGAACCGAACGGCTTGGGGGAAACCAAGCGGTTCGTTCTGATCATTGCAATACATACGTTTTTGTTAGCAAACCTACATACTCCCATAACCTAGTAATCGTAGCAGCGAGTCGCAGCCTAGTCGACGACACCCCGCTGACTAGGAACCTCCCTAAGTAGCCCACCACACGGCTCCTTACAAGAACGCTCGAACAAGCCTCCCTACTGAGGCGATGGGGAAGAAACGCGAGGATATCGTCGCTATGCTGCTAGAGGAGAGATATGAAGAGGCTGATAATATGAGCAGCTATCAACCAGAATATGCACTATCATTTCTACTATGCTAGAAATGGAAGTCTAGACACCTTTTTAGCATAGTGGTTTGATGGTTGATAGTTATGAGCCTGGAAGCCCTACACAGCAAGGCAAAGATTAGATGCCCCTATATCCTCTGAAGCCCCAGGCTTAATTCCGAGACGGCACAAGGCAGTGGCTTCACCAGAATGACCAGGGTGGTCTCAAGCCTTTTCTGAACTGTGCATACTTTTAGTAATTTAGTGATGATGGTTTTTAAGCTATGCCATTCGCTACTTATTATTGACAGTCTTTACTTTAAACAGTAGTTAATGTAATCAGTAAGCGAGCCGCCACTTTCCCGTCTGATTCTAACGCGTTCAAATTCAAAGCTATCCAAACAGCTACTATGCCACCAAAAACGCATACAAATGCAAGGAAATTGGTGGAGTAGGAAGGCAGGATCCTACTTGCAATATCAGCTCTAGAAAAGAAGGAAATCTTAGCAATTAGCAAGGCTGCGCAGATATTCAATGTCCCTTGTTCAACTCTATGTAATTAGTTAAATGGCAGCAAATACCGCAATGAAGCACGCGCAAATGGCTATAAAATGACTTATAATGAAGAGGAATCACTTATTAGATGGATTCTATCTATAGATTAACACGGAGCAGCTCCCCAACCATCTCATATATAAGAAATAGCAAACATCCTGCTTATATAGCGTGGTTTAACTCCTACCCAGACTGTTAGAGAGAAATAGGTATATAACTTCATTAGTTAGCATGATGAGATTAAAACCTGTTTTTCTAGGCACTATAATCACCAGCGTGCTAAAAGCAAAGACCTAAATATCATCCTAGAATAATTTAATTATGTCTAGATCATAATAATGTAGTATAGGATTGCACCTAAAGATATCTATAACTTTGATGAAACTAGCTTTGTAATGGGCTTAGTAGCTACTACTAAGGTAGTTATAAGAGCTGAGATGCTTAGTTAGCTATTTCTATCCAGCTAGGGAACCGCGAATGGGTTACATCTATAGAGTGTATTAACTCTACTAGATGGGTGCTACTGTGCTTCTACTATGTATTATCTTCAAAGGAAAGGTCCATATTGAGGGCTAGTATTAAGATTAAGCCTTACTAGCAGGCTAGCGGATTGAGGTTAGTAAGAATAGATAGACAACTAATCAGATTAGATTATAGTGGCTTTAAGTAGTCTTTATTCCTACTACTACAAGTTATATAGCTGGTAGATATTATCATATTAACTCTTGATTCTTAATAGCCATGGAAGCCATCTAACATCTTAATTTAATTAGATCCATAGTAAGAATAATATTATTCTACTCTATATGCCTGTATATTTATCACATCTTCTTCAGCCTCTAGATGTTGGCTGTTTTTCTCCTCTAAAGCGCGTGTATAGTCGCTTAATTAAGGAGAAGATGTGAGTTGGTTTTAACCATATTAATAAGCTTAACTTCCTTAAGGCCTATCCGCAGGCCTGTACAGTAATCTTTTTATCAGATAATATCAAAAGTGGCTTCTTAGCAACTAGATTAATACCACTGAATCTAGATCAAGTGCTCAGTTAGCTTAATATCCAGCTTAAAACCCCTACACCACCAGGCAGCTGATTAATAGATTCCGCCCTAAAAACACCTTATAATCTGAAGCAGTTAAAGAAGCAGGAAAGTATGCTTAAGAAGCTACTCAGGGAGTGTACATACAGCCCTCCTACCCTCCTAAGGCTGCGCTAGATTAGCTTATCAAGGGGTGTGAGATGGCAATGAATAATGCCATCCTTTCTTGCAAAGGAAAATCAGGATCTACATGCTGCACATAAGAAGCAGGTTCCAAATCAGAAGTGATCTAGGAGGCAGATAGAAGCTGCAGAGGGATTCTCTATCCAGGAAGGGCAGGAGTTCATTTAGCACAGAAATTAGGCTACTGAAGCTATCCCATCTATCCTTCAGAGCAGGCAGTAGATGCAGAACAACGCCCTCAATGGGCACCCCTGCGCTGCAGTGACTGCCATATTCTAGGCCATAAGCAATTGCAATGTCCGCAGCGCAAGAATAGCTAGATCTAGTAATATAATCATGTTTTAGGGGTTGAAAATAGCTTCAATTTCATCTCCGGCGAATCTTGGATGGCGGCTCGGTTGCAGTGGCGGCTCGCTTACCGATTACGTTACTTATCGATGCAGGAGGTTTACTAATCAATTTTGATGCAGACATGCCGACTCATGACCAAGGTTAAAACGTATGCAGGCCCTGTATTTGAATCTAATGCAGATGTCTACGCCCGAAAGGGAATCTGGCAAAACATATCAACCTACACAGTACAATGTCCGTCCCCGATCGGTCATATTCGAGTCCCAATGGAAAGTTGGTGCATCAACTGGAAGTCCCTTCACCTTCCTCTGCGAATTCGACCAGAGGAGTACCGCTCTTGCATTGATCCTGTAAGAACACGTTAGTCATCTACCACTCCTGAAAACGAGAGATCAAAAACGCGCAAGTTCTGGAAGCACAAGGGAAAATGTTCTCGAAGCTTGACGTGAGGGTCCGTGCTTCGGCCACAGCTCTCCAAGACTCCCAAACTCCAGACATTCTGGTCCGACTTGGCGCCAAACCAACGGGCCGAGATCCAGGCCATTAATTAAGAGTGTCATGCTATCGGTCAAGTGACCGATCAATAAACGGGAACGATGCGCAGGGGGTAATGAGAATAAAAACAAAAACACAAGGAAAAGAGGCGTGTGACCTACCCCTTTTTGATGTACCACTTTGGAGATGGTTCCCTTCTGGGGGCTGCGAATTACTGTTTCCATCTTCATACTCTCAATCACAACCAGCGGCTGGTCTTTTTCCACAACATCGCCTGCCTTGACCTCCACGCGCAGCACCTTGCAGGGCATTGGGGCCAAGACACTGTTGGTGACATCCTTCATGCCCAATGCTTTATCCATCCATTTAGCCCGTGGGATGCTCAGGCGGTATTGATTACCTCGCTGGAACGCAACGATGGAATCCCCGTCTTGTATCACAGTTGTGTCAAGTCGAGTGTGAGGAAAGAAGGATGTCACGACTTTGGATGCGGGATCGCTGTGGCTCGTCACCTGCTCGAAAACACGACTGCCAACCTCGATGTCAAACACATTGTTGCCAGTCTGCTTGACACGAACATTGAATTTTGTGCCATCTTTCCGCCCCGGAGTCAGTTCTGCTAGTGTCATCTCTCGTACTTGATAGCTGGGACTGAATCCGACAGCGGACCCTTCAAAGTTTGCTTGCTTTCCGGTCGCTGGTTCGGAGTTGTGGTGTAAACAAGCCAGCGCCACTTGTGCAAGGACCTCATCCTCAACCGGATCCTTAACGAACAATTCATCGCGGTGCTTATCAATGTAGCCCGTCTCCACCTCGCCCTTGATGAAATCTGGGCTTCTGCAAACGGATTTGATGAACTCGATGTTGGTGATAGGGCCTGCGACCTCATATTCTTCCAAGGCGGCTGCTAGTTTGCGGATTGCCTCTTCCCGGGTGGCACCGCGAACGATCAGTTTTGCAATCATTGGGTCGTAGTGAGCTGAGACTTCATCTCCTGCGACGAAACCCGCATCTATTCTCACGTCGTCTGACGTTGCAGGAGTGCGGACGTGTAGCAGAGTGCCAGAGTCAGGGATGAAACCTTGGTCCGGATTTTCCGCATATATTCTAGCCTCGATGGCGTGTCCGCGGTGAGCCATTTCAGCTTCAACTTGACCCTGAGTCAATGGCAGAGGGGCTCCCTCCGCGATCTTGATCTGCCAGTGCACGAGGTCCTGACCGGTGACCATTTCAGTAACGGGATGCTCAACCTGCAGCCGAGTATTCATCTCCATAAAGAAGAATTCGCCGGTGTCGTTGTCGAAAATGAACTCGACTGTACCGGCACCCTCGTAGCCTACGGCCAGCGCTGCAGCTCTCGCCTTCGCCCAGATATCTTTTCTGGTTGCGTCTGGTAGATGGGGTGCTGGAGACTCCTCAAGGATCTTCTGATGCCGTCTTTGTATGCTGCAATCTCTCTCCCCCAGAGCGACGCAGTTCCCATACTTGTCTGCAAAGACCTGAACTTCGATGTGACGTGGTGTTGTAATGTACTTCTCGACCAAGACGTGGTCGTCTCCGAACGAGTTCATGGCTTCTGATTTCGCAGATTGCAATTGAGCCTGAAATTCGGCTTTAGACCTGACGATACGCATCCCTTTCCCGCCGCCACCTTTGACTGCTTTAATAAGCACGGGGTATTTAATCTTATCGGCTTCGGCTTCGAGGAAGTTCACGTCTTGATTTGAGCCGTGATAGCCAGGAACGCAAGGTACACCTGCAGCTGTCATGATCTTCTTTGACTGGCTTCAAGGTATTAGCGAGGGCTAAAAGATGGGCCTTCGTGATCGGCATACCTCTTGTCTCCCATATCCTCGATTGCTTTCCATGGCGGACCGATGAAGACTAGACCAGCTTCTGTGCATTTCCGCGCAAATTCTGAGTTTTCACTCAACTACAGACAACAATGATAAGTGTACAGCGATCGTTTATTCGTTGGCAGATACTTACAAAACCGTAACCGGGATGTATCGCTTGACAGCCTTCTCTCTTCGCAATCTCGATGATGCGATCACCATCGAGATATGCAGAGACTGAGCCGAGATTAAATGCAAATGGTGAGCTCAACGCATGCTGTGCATGTCTGTCGGGATCCGTGTATAGCGTTGTCACTTTGATACCGTGTTGAGAAGCCGTCCGACCTACTCGTCTATCAATCTGGTCAGTGGAGGTAAATAAAACGTCAAACCGTCGCAATCATACAATGCTATCTCTCCTCTGTTGGCAATAAGAACCGAGTCCAGTTTCCTCTGTGGCACATGAGTACTGGCGACAGTGGATGCTGCTCTTCGTGACCGTCGAGCTGCTGTCGGGCCCATGCGGGAAGAAATGCGGAGAAGAGACGAGAGAGCCATAGCGACGAATTCTGCTGCTAAACAGCCCTATGTTGAATTTCTGTGCAGATTCTTCAAAACCCTCAGCATAGTTCAGATACGAGCGAAAGTAGCTTTGAGGAGCTCTCCGCGAGTCTTAAGAAAAACAAGGCCCTGGCTAGGTTCTTCCCGAAGCATGACAGTATCATCACCCCCTTGAGCCGACGCAAAGCGAAACTGCGGGGAAATGTATGCACGTGACCCCTACTCCACTCTGCAGTCCATCTCGCCAAGTTCTGCTGGGCGGAAGTCGAAGAGACAGCGATCAGCCCGAAGACACGACGTCACCGTCGAATTTTTTTTGGATCATTTGCGGTCGTTTCTGTTATACTTGAGATCAATTGAGATATATAGCTTGTTTGTGCTTGCTTATTGCAAAGAGCCTCTTTTCCTTTCTCTCTCGCGGGGCCTATTTGTCGCCACGGAAAATTTCTGCTCTCCTGAGGTCCTTCCAATCCCTGGCGGCCTAGTTACGATTTCTCGACAACGAAGCGGTGCAATTTTATCGCTCTGTGATCCGACTTCGCCAACGTCTTCTCGCCTTTCAAAATGTCAGATGACGAATGTCTGGACGAATACGACGATGAAGATGTTTTCTGGATTGAGGAACCAGATCCAACCATTGCTGTTAGTCTTTGCGCTCGCTGCAATCTGTGATTAAGTAGCGGACGTGTCCTCGATTATACTGACGAGTCAATTAACGTTATAGGATGATTTAGCTGAAGCCGCTACCCACGACGCGTTGTACGTCGATGATCCCGCCCTCGACGTAGAGGACTTTTACAGTGATTGGGACGAATTGTCGGATGATTATTATGACGACGACCCAACCATTGAAAAGAGGCGACGCATGATGGATATAACGAAGAACAGCGGATATTCCAGAGAATTGCTTGAGGATATTCAGCGACAAGAATTGCTGGAACAGAAGACATTGGTGCACCGGCTACATCGCGGCGGAGTTGTCGCAGAATCACCAGCATTCAAGACAGACCAGGCATCTTTTCAAGCAGTGGTATGGAAGAGCTCCGATGACAAGAAAAACACGGCCGCTTTGTATGAGCCGGGTGATGGGGAGAAGGTCGCACTGCTAAAGAATTGGCGAGAGGTGTTTCGAAATTCTCATCCTGCCCTACGTCTGCGCAAGCGGGGCCATCTCAAGGCGGACAAGGAACACACTCGCTCTCGATTAATCGGCACCATATTACAAAAAGAAAGCCAAAAGGAAGACAGTTCAGACTGCACCTCTGGCGCCTCGCTGGATAATCTTCGCGAAACTGACGCTGCCTCCGACAATAGCCTGGCATCGACTCCTCCGGAGTCTGTGTCATCGATTCCGCTACATAGAATCAGAGCGATGGAATCAATCACCAGCGTGCCCGTCGTTCCCGAATTGAACGACTTTACGCGCTCTCTTGAAGACCAGGAAATGTACGATATCGCCACGAAACAAGTTGAAGCCGAACCGACCGATGTTGCGGGCAACGGCTCATCGCTTTCTTCCGGGAAGCATCGGAAACGTAAGGCTTCGGATCTTGCCGAGGAGCATCAGGATAACAGCACCGATGCTTCCAAGAGGTTAAGGTCAGAAAGCAATGTAGTGAACACAGCTGGCAAAAAAGGAACTGCCGCGACTGCATCATCGGGCCCGGGCAGAAGATCAACCAGGCAGAAGACGAATCAGAAATAAACCGGTACATGAACCGACAAGGCCTAAATTGGGCTATACGTATATTTAGATAATGCAAGAATTAGATGCCAAAGGATTTCGATTCGTCTATACATTCATCTTTCATGCAGTCTATGCATATTCCTTGTTAAAAGCGCGCCCGATCACCATCCGTCTGATCTCACTAGTACCGGCGCCAATCTCATAGAGCTTCGCATCCCGGAGCAGCCGCCCAGCAGGGATCTCATTGATGTACCCATTGCCGCCCATAAGCTGAATAGCATCCAGAGCACACTCGGTAGCTCTCTCGGCAGCGTACAAGATGGCGCCCGCGCAGTCCTGCGTGCGGATCGAAACCTCCCCGGTAGCTGCAGAGTTATCGATATGTCGTGCCGTCGCATAGGTATAAGAGCGCGATGCCGAAAGCTTGGTATACATATCTGCCAGCTTTCCCTGAATAAGCTGGTTGTGGGCAATGGGGGTTCCGAATTGTTTGCGAGTATGGGTATATGGGAGCACGAGGTCGAGGGCTGCTTGCATGATTCTATTGGACTCCGATTAGCATCATCATCTTCGGACCGTGAGATGTTTCTTTTTCACTCAGGGAAGCCTACCCGAGTGGACCAGCGCTGAGGACAAGCCGCTCAAGATCAAGACCTTCCATGAGAACTCTAACGCCCTTGTTCAACTCTCCGAGGAGATTCTCCTTGGGGACGAAGACATCTTCGAAAACAAGTTCTCCGGTGTTTGATCCACGCATACCCAACTTGTCGAGCTTGCGCGCGCAGGAGAAGCCCTTGAATTTCTTTTCGACGACGAATGCGGAGATACCCTTGGAGCCCTTTTCCGGCTCTGTTTTGGCATAGACGACAATGTAGTCTGCGTCGGGGCCCTAGGTCGTAGACAAGTCAGTGTCAGCGCTCACAAGAGCTGCTGTAGGATTGATGACTACTCACGTTCGTGATCCACATCTTGGTGCCGTTCAGCACCCAACCACCGTCGACTGCTTTAGCAGTTGTCTTCATACTGACCACATCAGAGCCTGCGGAGTGCTCTGACATGGCCAATGCTCCGACCTTCTCGCCGGACAGAAGACCAGGGAGGAACCGAGCCTTCTGGTCTTCAGTACCGTTCAAGGACAGTTGGTTTACGCAGAGCTGCGAATGTGCTGCGTAGGACAAAGCGATACTCCCTGCAAATCAAACGGGTCAACCTCAAGGTTCGAAAACAAGCCTTGAAGAGCCGCAAACAGTGCCAAATACCTGAAGCTCTGCTGAGTTCTTCCATCACGATACAGTGCGCTTGATAACCCATTCCCAGTCCACCATACTCCTCATTGGCAGTGACACCAAGGAACCTAGTGAAACACAATTAGCTCTTGTATGGTACGAAGATGCCTTGAAGCACTAACCCAGCGTCTCCAAGTTTCTTCCACATCTCTGCAGGGAACTCATTCTGCGAATCTGTCCGAGCGGCGACCTCCTCAGGTATTTCACGCCCTTGAATACGCATAAGTATCGGGGAAGGGCAGATATAACGTGATAATCGGATGATGAAAGGCTCATCACATACTCGTAAACTCTTGTACTCGCTCTCTCAACTCCAGCAGCTCGTCCTCGGTGGGCGGTACGAATCCCTTGGGATGTTTTGTTGCCAGCGACCTTGATGCGGGGGTGTAGATGAGCGGCGTCCTCATCCTGCAAAGGGTCCTGGACGAAGTCCGATATATGGACGCTACGGAAGCCATTGTGAATGAGAATAAACACTCTTCCAGGGGAGACTTGAGAACTCTCAGGTAACGAAAGAGAATGATGGATGTTTAGCAAAATCAAAGCCGAGGATGGTTGCATTTACATAGCGATGCGAGGCGGAGAGAAGAGCGGGCCTGAGGCCAGCGGCGGGTAAACGCGGCAATCGTCGCTGTTTCTTCTCCGCAGCCGATCAAGCTGGAGTCCGGGGACTCATCGTCATGCCCTTCTTTTTCTCTCCCATCATCAACCCGCAGTCTTCCCCTTCTCAAAATCACTTCCCACTTTCTTGAGGACACTGTCCTGTCTTCTGAGGCCACTCTTTAAATTGCAGTCAAGGCCATGCCATAAATACCCCCGGACATCGGCTGAACATCAACATTTCCTTTGCTCCACAGTCATCCCCGCAATGCGTGCCCCATCTCCGCTCCTCCGGGCTTGTGCTCAAGAGCAACCGCCCTTCCGTATCCTCGACGACTCCCGACGCAAAGACACCCGGTCTTAACATACACTCGCATCTCGTCACGATCTGTGGCCAGTTATACACATCCGCATCATGCCAGCGCCATTTCCGTGCTCCCCACTGCGGTGGACACCACCTCCGCTGAATTCCAGGAGAACGCGCAACAGATGAGAGAGTTGGTGGACCGAATGGCCAGTCTACACAAAACCATTGCACAGGGAGGACCGCAAAAAGCTAAGGAGAAGCATGTCGCTCGAAGAAAGATGCTCCCGCGCGATCGTGTCACTGCGCTCATTGATCCAGGGACGTCCTTCCTGGAGCTTTCACCCCTAGCTGGCCATGACGTCTATCCCGGGGAGGACGTTCCCGCTGGAGGCATTATTACAGGCATTGGCCAAGTGGAGGGCGTTACCTGTATGATCGTGGCTAATGACAGCACTGTCAAGGGAGGAACATACTACCCCATTACCGTGAAGAAGCACCTCCGCGCGCAAGCAATTGCCCAGGAGAACAAGCTTCCATGCCTCTACCTTGTCGATTCGGGCGGTGCCAATCTCCCCCACCAGGCAGATGTCTTCCCCGACAAGGAGCATTTCGGACGGATCTTCTTCAACCAAGCCAGAATGAGTTCTCTTGGGATCCCTCAGATCTCTGTGGTCATGGGGCCCTGCACAGCAGGAGGCGCCTATGTTCCTGCCATGAGCGATGAGACTATCATTGTCGAGAATCAGGGAACAATCTTCCTGGCTGGTCCTCCTCTGGTCAAGGCAGCGACGGGTGAAGTCGTCTCCGCAGAGGATCTGGGTGGTGGCCAGCTACACAGCACCATCTCCGGTGTCACGGATTACTTGGCCGTGGACGATGCCCATGCCATTGTCCTCGCCCGGAGATCCGTCGCCAATCTCAACTACCCTAAAACAAGCGTACCTCAGGTCTCCGCAAATACCATCAAAGAGCCGCTGTATGACCCGGCCGAGCTCGACGGCATCGTCGGAACCAATCTCCGCCGGCAGATACCAGCCCACGAAGTCATTGCCCGTATTGTCGATGGCAGCGAGTTTGCAGAGTTCAAACGTGACTATGGAACCACCCTCGTGACTGGATTTGCTCGTATCTACGGCCACCAGGTCGGTATCGTCGCGAACAACGGCATTCTATTTTCCGAGTCTTCTTTGAAAGGAGCGCACTTCATTGAACTGTGCGCTCAACGCAAAATCCCCTTGCTATTCCTTCAGAACATCTCCGGCTTCATGGTCGGAGCAGACGCAGAGAAGGGCGGGATCGCCAAGAACGGCGCCAAACTGGTGACTGCAGTGGCTTGTGCGGATGTTCCCAAATTTACAGTTGTGTTTGGCTCCAGCGCCGGAGCAGGAAATTACGGGATGTGGTAAGTGCCCCTTGTTATGCTGTATTTACCTCGACGACACAGAGAACTAGGCTAACTTTGCTGCGTCTCTTATAGCGGCCGCGCCTACTCTCCACGACTGATGTTCATGTGGCCCAACGCGAAGATAGGCGTAATGGGGTCCGAACAATTATCCGCTGTCATGGAGGCAGTCGGTAGAACCGCCGATCCGGAACTGAAAGCACGGATCGACCGTGAGTCAGAAGCGATCTTTTCTTCCGCTCGTCTCTGGGACGATGGTGTCATTCCGCCAGCACAGACGAGACATGTCTTGGGCCTGAGTCTTGCGGCTGCTCTTGGTGGCAGAGTAGACAAGGATGTGCAGACTCGTTTCGGTGTTTTCAGAATGTAAACTTGTAGCCTAATTCAGCAGTCATTACTCACGAAATTCGCTTTGTGCACATTCCATATAGATTTGGACTCGTAAACCGTAGACACACCGGCTGCCAGTTTTCCCTGAACTAGCATGACAACAGGTTGGACCCCCTACTCCAGTCAGTAAACGGCAGGAAGGGGACTGTGACGGAGCGGTCAAGACGGCAAATTCCTCGATTCTTCTAGAAAATAGGTGGTATACAAGAATAGTAGGAACATGATACCAAGCTGATGTAATGAAGTCAACCCGATTCCCCTGGAATCGGTCCAAACAGAGCCTCTCAGGAGGGTAGACAAGAACATGAGGAATGTTGATACCAATTGCAAGAACAACACGGAAGGGCAGTCGAAAAGGGGATAAAAGGAATTCGTCAGGAGATCACTCGACAACTTTTCCAGCCTTTGAAAGTCAGGTGCAACTCGTAATATTGAAAATAACACGTTATAATCGAACATCGTTCTACCGTTGGGAAGGGCACGTAAATGGCGTATAGTGTAGTATGATATGGGGCACATCGTGAGGAAATTGTAAACAATTGATGGGTATGTGTGAGTGTGAAGAATGTCGGTCGAAGCTCAAGATGTATGAGCAGTGATACACAGAACCGATGGACAGGAATGAACAGGAAATCAGACGTTTTGGGGGTTTCCCGCGGCAGTCGTAGCGCTGGTGCTGTTGTCGATTTGGGGTTTATAAGATGACACAGGGGCCCTTTCGTCGTTTCTTTTCTTTCTTCTTATCGTAACGACCGGCGCCTTCACGCTTTCTTGCTAGACTGTCGGAACCGCTGGACGAGTTTCCTTGCATATCTTTTCTGATTATTTGCCGGCAAAGATCAATAAAGACCTCGTTGACGTTCGCTCTCCGACGCGCCGAAGTTTCATAGTAGGGAGCATTACCCCAGCTCTGGGAAAGTGCGAATGCTCGAGCCCGCGGAACAGCGCGGTCTTCCTCCAGATCGGATTTGTTGCCCACAATGACAATGGGGACTTTCTCATCATCCTTTATCCGGATGATCTGCTCTCTCAGTTCGGACAACTCGTTCAAGGATGACATGCTGGTGATGGAGAATACGAGCAGAAAGCCTTGACCCTGCTTCATGTAAAGTTCCCTGGAGAGTGAGAGAAAGATGGTTAGCACCATGTGGCGAGCTGAAGCTGGCATCTATACGATTAACATGCTTGGCTGAAAAAGCACAGAAACCATCGGAAAAGGAGTGCATAAGATAAATTACCTCATAGCGGCTACAGAATCACGTTAGCCGAAAAGCGATAATATCCAAGAGCGGGTGGACTTACTGAACTGCTCGGTCCCTGCCGTATCGAGTCTTTCGAACAATTCAAGCGTCAGTATTCTCAAGCTAACATCGGTGGCAATTCTCCCAGTCAACAAGGTCCTGCGAAAACATACATTTCCAGAATACATTGCCGGCCCTGGAAAAGTCAGCATTAGAATTCCAGCGCAACCGTCGAAAGCGACTCACATCGACCTCAATCTGCTTTCGATAGGAGTCTTCAATCGTGGGGTCATAGCTTTCGATCCACACATTCTGAACGAATTGAGCTGTGAAAGTCAGATCGTGTACCTCATTGATGAAGATCCTTGAATCAACGACGCAGTTCTCACTGCGAGCAAAGAGGAGGAACAAGGGTGAAATGAGAAAAGAAGAGTACGTACCAGTAAGACAACTTTTCCCCACACCTCCTACAGCGCAGACAAACGACAATCAGTTAGCCGAAAAAAGGTCTTTCGGGCGCCTTCCGACAGAAAGAATATGCCTACCAGCACCTAGAACCACAATGTGATATTCCCGTCTAGCAATTGACACATGGTAACATCAGTAACCCGTCACGCAATCTCCCTCAAATGAGGATATCTCCGACAGGAGGACTCACTGGGGCCGCATTGAGACTGTACGGACTCTTTCGATAGACAGTCGCCCTTGTAGACTTCGCGCAAGCTCGTCAGTGCATAGCTCTAACGTCAAAGGAACGCAATTTGAGGTGTGCCTTATCTACCTGTCGACGCTGTTGCCGATGTGCTTCGCAGAGCGGTGTAACCAAGTTCGATCGAGTTTCAGAGAGGCGTACGGTAGGGTATGTGCAAAGGTCTGCGACTGGTATCTTCCTTTAAATCGTAGCCGGTCGGGTAATGGTCTGGTCTGATTTCCAGGCTCCCACTGGAAGAGCAAGGGCGAAGAGACGCGATCCGTTACATCAGTTTCCGATGCCAATTGCCAACCAATTCCTCCGACCCGGGGTTATATCGAGCCCTTTTAATCAAATCACACCCAGAGGTTCGCCGGTTCGATAATGAGGGACGGTGGTGATTAGGGAACGATGCGCTCGAAAAAGAAAAAATAAAAAAAGGGTTAGGGAAAAAAAACGTTGATGTCAACAGATTGGTTCCAAAGTCCGGAGGCTAGGCCGGGCTAGTCTGGTCACTCCTGGTACAACCGAAGAACGGGTGTGGGGAGAGGGGAGGAACGATAACGAGCGGTTCCGTTTCGGAGGGAGGCTTGAGATCGAACTGGTTACTGGACACGCTGCAGAATGGTCAACATGGCACACAATGCAATTGCACGTAAGGGAGGTCACTGACCCTTCCTCAGTTTTCTGGTTTGAACTTAGAATCAGAACGTGACGACTAGGCGGCGGTGAGAATCTGCGATGGCTGTGTGGACACCACGGGCGATCCAATATCCGCGATTAAACTCTAAACCTCAGGGAAAGAGGCCAACGGCCGTTGAGTTCTCTTGGAATTCCGCGAGAACTCGATAGGCACCCCCTGTCTTAATGGCATTATTCGGGTCAGCGTTGCAACGGAAAATTAAACGGTGATGGAGTTGTGGTTACTGGTGTCTCCACAGGACCTATCAAAAGGGCGACGGCGGTGTTGGTGTATGTAATGATGTATCGCTGAAACCACCAGTGAGTGCGGCTTTTTTTCCCCATGTTCTCCTTGGGTCTGGGGAATTCTAATCTTGGAGGAGAAGAATAACCGGAGTGTCGGTCCCCGAGTCTCAGTCCTTGACACTCAGGATACATTTTCACAGTCCGATCAAGAGACGGACGAAGTGCACGCTTGGCTTGAACGCTGTCACGGATGTCTCAGATCATGGGAAATGGAAAGAGATGGCGGCAAGACAACCATAACAATGCCATATTGATCATTATTAGGGGAATCTCATCCGTCATGCTCAAACTGATGTTGACAAGTAACCCCTCTGATACACCGGGTGGAGGGAAGGTGAGGCAAATGACGGGAGTATAGAGATGAAGGCCTAAGCTGGCTACTTACAGTCCGAAGAGAAATCCAATATTCGGCTGAAATAGGAAAGAAGTCACTCAATGGAATAATCGATAGAGGTTAGGAGGACTATTTGTGGCGTCCGGGATGACAAAAGGCGTCTGCTGGGTTTCTAATCGGGCACCTAAAAGCAGGTTTTGTCACTTTGTGGGAACGGCAGATTCAGTAGATTCAGTATGTACATCCCTCCAAGTATTGTTCGTAGCTCTCTTCGGGGAACCTTTGAGTTATATTGATGCCACAGGATTGAGAGTCCTAGAACGAGAATTCCTATTTGGCGCTTCAAAGCTGAAAATCTACATGATGGCACCAAGGTTGCAGACAACCTCCATTCAATGGGGATGCCAGGAAAGTCCTTGAAACATGCACGTATTTTGCCAGAACTTACCTGTCAACTCTTTTTCCGAGATCGGCTCAGTAGTTTGTCTGTCATTGCGATTGTAGGAACCTATCGGCTGGGCTTAGAGCTGCAGACAGTTGACGTAGATGATGTTGACAAACATGACAACTCAGTCTGCCAGGAACACGTACCTAGGTTTAGGCCAGACGTCATTACATGGTGAAGCGGTAGTGTATATTGGAAAGCCGTACTAACACCCAAGCCCTGGCATTCATGGAAGAATCATCCGGAAAGAGGGGCATGGTAAGGGAGCGCAAGACTTTCCCTCTATCCTATGACTGACACTTGACAGGTCGAATCATGGCTGGGACAGATCTCGATGATAACAGTACATGTGGATAGATCGGAGATATTCTCTATCTGTAGAGATGCAACGTAGTATGCAGGTGCCTGGCCATCGAACACAGACAGCACGCTCTGCCAATCATTGCGTCACACATAGGGCAGTCTCCGCACATCGTCAGACGTTTCCTTGAACTTTCCTGGGAATACGTTTGCATTATGTGGTATGCTAGCCGCTACAGCCCCGAGACAATGATACATGGCTTATCTTTGGCTCGCCTAAGTCGGATGTCATGGTACCCTTGATGAGAAAGTACCACCAAAGCCAAGACCATTCGGGAAGTTAGGCAGGGCAACATACTCCGAAAGCGCTATTTGGAGGTGAGTCTAGCTATTGACAGATCTATGGTATACAACTGAACGGAATGTTGGAGCAAGCTCTGACGTAATTGTCCAACATAAAACTATCAAGCAACCAGAAATCGCTGAATTCACAGTATCCTCGTACATGCACAGCAAAATAGACGGGAAGACATGACCGCTATAAAGAACGAAAGGCACGGCAGCAACAGTTTCCGTTGAAGATGTAGGTTATATCAAGCCGTTGGTCTGCTTGACTGCTCTGTGCCCTTTCGTCCCTCTATATTCTCCGGAGCCGTATCGCTCAAGAGCCTCAAAAACGTGTCCAAACACCTGTTGGTCCACGTCTCTTGCCCAGAGAAAATCCAAATGCTCATAACTTGGAATCGACTTGGCCACCGTCCCGCGTGGTAGCTCTCGCAACATCGCCCCGATATCAATCAGACTGTCACTTCCACCGTAGAGAAGAACAATCGGGGTCTTGATGTTCCTGGTGGGGTATTTGACCGGTTTGTAAAACCGTTGACTGGCCACAACGCTAAACGGAGCAAGAACTTCATCATCGTACATTTGAAACGTCCTATGCCGCATGATTTGGAACCAATGCACCACCGACTTTGTGCTAGTGAACGAATAGAGATGCAGGTAACTTGCCAGTTTCTGATACCAGCTAATGTTCTTGCCCTCCCAACCGAAAAGAATTGAAAGCGATGCGTCGATTATGCGAACAAAGATTGGAGGGTAGAGAATTGTCTGCCACATAGGGGTGGAACTGAGGATGCTGCGTCTACCAAAGAGGAGGAACAGAAAGTTGGGTGAAGCCTTCATCAACGAGTCCACGATACGATTCCGCAGTCCCGAGGGCGCCATTGCAGGTGCAAGGGCCACAAAGACATTTATTTGCTGGTTGAGCAACGGATGAATCGATAGAGTCGCAAACGCCTGTGCTGTTCCCTGCGAGAACCCGATATACGACAAGGAAGCCTGTCCCGTCACGTCGAGGATGTAGTTAATGCTGTCAGGGATATCGTAGAACGCAAACTCGTCCATCGAAAAGCCCCAGAACTGAGTGGACAGGGGTGAGTGATGGATAGACTTCTTGGAATATTTGTTGCCGCGATTGTTCCCAAGCCAGACATCATATCCTCTCTCCACAAGCTGAAAAGGGAGACATCGTTGAGCATCCGTCAAACACACCCAGACTTCGCTGCACATCAAAAGACCGTGATGGAGGTAGACAACCTTTTTCTCGAGGGTTCCCTCTCCCCGGTTGACGAGGCGTCCTTCTTCGCCTTTGCGATAGGCTAGGCGGTGTAGTCCTATTAGGAAGCCATCTTTCGTCTGCACGATGTGCTCCTCCGCCTCATATCCGAAAATGGCACAAATGTCTGCAAAGTTGGAGGCCTGCGCAACCTGTGCAGCGATCTGCTCCTCCTTACCACGCTTGTATAGTCTCTCTCCCGGGATCAGAAAATTGAATAAGGCCTTGGAACGATCGTGACAGAACTCGATTACAGGCTCCGCTGCTCTAGGTTAGCCCCTTATCCTCAACGAGCTTTAATTGCAATTGGAGGCTGTGAAAACTGAGACCCGAGGCACCTCCTCAGTATACTTACGCAGCCAGAATGTAATAAAATGTATCACCCATTCCAGCAGCACTAGAATCAAGGACGCAAAAAGCGCAAGGTATTCGAACCAAAACAGTCTTCCGATCACTGGAACGGCCATGGCGAGGTTATGGTTCTGGCAGATGTGCTTTAATAAATGGTGTTGGAAGTGACACTGCCTTCATCAGCACCGATCAACATGATGCGCTGAATCAAGGATTAAACCAGGACACTTCATGGTCAATGCTTCGTTCGTTTAGAGATCAACCAAGACCGCGACGTCATGCGGCATCGCGCCGTCCTTTTTCATGTGATGCTTACCTAATCTGGGGACAAGCAGAAGCCAAAGAGGGCTAGCCCGGATTTTCGCCGCCGAGGAGATTCCGACGATCTGATACCTGACAGTTTGATTGTGGTTCGTCAGGACAGCCCAACGACGCGCTTTCTGCACAGCTGCACGATGCCGAGTTCATGCAGAGAATTAAGTGAGTAATTCTCAATTTCCTTATACCCATTGGGGCGTTTCCCACGGAGCACGCTCCACATCTCTTCCGCGACCCTCACTTACCATGTAACATATCTGGATGCTAATGAGTTTGACGACTTCTCTCAGGAGACGCACTGGCGCAATGCCTGCAAGAATCAGATTGCATCATGGTCCAGCGGCACACCCCGCGTGAATGCTTGAGCACCCCCTCGTCGATGAGCTGCCTATGAAATGCCAACAGTTGCGGAAAGGATTCAGCGAGTGCAAGTGAGTGGACCGGACATGCGTGCTTTAATTGCAGTGGATAGCGCTGACAACAGGCACAATCTAGGCGAGGGTTGATCGACATGCGAAAGCGATTCCGTGGAAATCAGCCCATTTCAGTTTCCAGGGAGCTCGAAGGAGGCAAATCCCTATCCCACCAGCAACTATACGCCGGCAAGCCCGCCTTCGAAACCGTTAAGGAGATTAGCGGGAATGAAGTTCAGATGGACCCCGAGAAGACTAGGGGACTATAAGTTTTCAAGCTCGCGACTCACTAGGCTGGCGAAATGCCTAGATCCGCTGTCCTGAATTTTATAACACGGCATTTGATCTTACCTCCTGGCATCGTTTGGAGTTCCCAGTTGGCGGAATGTTTGTGTCTCCGGATTTTGTGTAACACTACTGGCTTATGGCATATGACTGTACATACTTTTGAATTATGGGTTTCCGGCGCAAGTACACGCTTCATTGCGAACTATCATTCGTTGAGATTTTACAGAGGATTATTGCGTCTTCTTTGCGTTTAACACAGCAGCAGAAGGTGCTGAGTAAAGCCATGCAACAACGAACACCAGGAAGCCAGCGATGACGGACCACAAACCCGCAATCCAGACCCATCCACCGCTGATCTTCCAGCTTCGGGGTACTCGTTATGAGCGAAATGGCGAACGGTCACCTCGAGTTTTTCTTCGATGTTGGTGAGGAACGGACGCTTGTAGTTCACTCGGAAGGAGAAGATTCCATGCTGATCGGGGGTGGTGAATCGTGTGCTGTAAACCGTACTGTTATCCGTTTGACGGACGGGTTCCAAGTTCAGGCGATGGAAGGGAGATAGCATGGTAAACTCAAGCTGGACGGCATCGCCAGTGGGAACCTCGAAGGGTACGTAGCGATCATAGTCGTACTCGGAAAGTTCAATGCTAAAGACCTGTTGAGATGTGTGAGCATGCAAATAGGCAATGGAGCCTCAACGGCTGTCTCTTACAGTTTCATTCTTCACCCGATAGATCTTAGGGTTCAGCTTCTCGGGAGTGATTTCACCATCTTCAGCCAGATGATGCTCGATCTTTCCGACCTTAAGCACTCCGGTTTCCTTGAATGTCCATGCGGTAAGCTGCTTGGCGAACTCCTGGTTGACCGTCTTGGTCGGCTTCCCATCGGCGGGGGCCTTTACAGTCGCAGAAAACCACTGATCCTGCAGACTCTCCACGGAGCCCAGTAGAGTGAACCGAGCGGAGTTTCTAGCCTGCATGGCCGAGACCAGAGCCAACTGCGAACCTGTAGCTGCAACATCCTCGACTGATGACGCGTCCTCCTTGGGGTTGTAACTGTATGCAGTGGCGGGCGCTCGCAGAATGGGCGCAATGAGAGGGTTTGCGTCGCCCAGGGTGTGGGGGACAGCTCTAGGAAACGCTACGACACCCTCACCATCAAAGAAAGCCTTGGTGTCAGGCCTCAGCTTGCCTGGTCGCCCGAGTAGCAAGACATCGTGCTTATCAGTAGCAGAAAGTGTATCGTAGTTGAAGTGATCGACGGTGACAGAGGAACGATCGACAGGGAGATGGAGATCGAGCTCCAGCAGCAACGAGCTGATAGCGCTGGCGGTTGTGGACTTGCCGGACAAGGCGAGGAGGACGTTGCCGTCCTTGTTCATGAATTCAATGATATTCTTGGGAGTAAGGGAGGGTCCATAGCCTGGTCAAGAGGTCAATTGAAATGTACAAAGCAGATCGTATGGACATGTCTAAGCGCAACGCTAACCCTTTGACTTGGGAGGCAGGAGAAGTAGATGGTCGTAGACTCGGTCTCCGAGCTCGAACAGGCTGAGCTTGTCATTCTTGGGGGATTCGAACTCAAGGTTATATCCTCGAGCTACCAATTAATGATTAGCATGTCAATGCAGAAGTTCAGTAAGATAGAGCACCTTCTAAGTCAGCCCATAATTTTGAGTATAATTCCTTTTCTGCGGCATCTTCCAAAACAACCAGCAGACGACTGCCCGAGCTACTTAATGCATGTACAACTGCCAAGAAGCAGAATGCCAGAAGAGTGAGGCACAACCGCATGGTATATCGAATTCCGCACAGCAGAGCGGGCAATTGGCTGAAAGGAAAATCACTGCAGTCCAGTGAAGAGAAGGACAAGAAGAGGGAAATGAAGTGGTAGAGGAGAGTGTCCTCTGGAGGAGCTTCGTCAGTTCCGTTCAGTTGGAGAGAACGGGCAACGTGTTTGGACCGAGAGTGCCAAGACCTCTTCGCCGCTTTGAACTGCGCAATCGTCGGCCGGCGTCACTCACAACCTCCATTCGACAATATACCCCCTCTCCGTCGCGATACCCGCCCCTCTGGCGCGATTTGACCCAGTCTCAAAGTATCAGACTTCCCGGAAGATAGAATACGTAATTCGAATCGAGCCTCGCTCAATTGATCTTTGATCCAATCCATCCGTCACGCTCACGAAAGCTTCGACCGAATCCCGCAAAAATCCTTTTGGATCATCGACCTTTCGTCTCACAACCATGACTACTCCCCAATTCTGGTCGACTCCTCTCCGGTACCTCCGCTGGGCCTCGCATGAGAAGCCAGCGATCTTCTACTCCTTGGTCGTTGGAGCGACAGGTCCTCTCATGCTGGTCACCCTTCCCCCCATCAGACGGTTCTTCGGTGATGTTGACCCGGAGCCTATTCCATTGACCTATCCCTGTAAGGGCTTCGATATTTCCTTTTTCCTTCGCGCTCTCCTGCAATCTATTCTCTGTCGCTGTGCCGCTCGCATGCTAACATATTCAATTCCTGATTCCAGTTCCCCAGGGACCACGGAACATCCCGCAAGGCTACGATGACGAATAGATATCTCAAAGGGAGGACGAGCGAAACTGATTTGACTTGCTAGGATGCTCTTCACTGGGGAAACTCGAACAGCAATAGTATCGGACGTGCACTTTGTCGGGCGCTGATTACCGACGGTCCATTACCGGGGCTGCGTCAATCGGAAGTGCTTGCGGGTTATCATCTTTTATATTGAGCAACCAACGCAGAGCCCTTCAGGCCATTTACCTGCCACCAGATGTCTTCATACTCGTGAAAACCCCTTGTTGAGCTTGACAGTACGAGTGCAGCGGTGTATTGTACATGAAAATGATTTTAGAGCGCAGACACATCCATTTTCGTTTGAACTTACTTCTTTACTTCTGCGCATATTCGCATCTCCTTGGAATTCCGGCTTCATATTACAGGCTTAATTACGTTCCTCTTAGATCACATCTTTCACGCGGATGCCGTCCTAGGCGGATGCCGAACTAGCCCGTCCGTGCTTCGTGAAGCTCCTTGATATATCTCGCTCAAGGAGTGGAAGCGACGGTTTGTTGTAACAAAGTAAGACACAACTAGGATACTTGTGCTCTAATATTTGCCTTTTCAGCAATCCCGTTAGAAGTCAGGCGTCGTCAAACGTGCGGCTGAGACGACTCATAATCAAACCCGCGTTGGCCGGACCTTCAACGCATGGAGTAATTGAGTCATTATGAAAACGTAGCTCCGAAGACCTCGTACCCTTTCATGTTTTACAACCGATTTGACCAGTCTTTAGAGAAGGAATAAAGAAAAGGCCGACAACAATGCTTTGAGTCGACCTCCAATAGCCTGAGGCGGGAACAGCAATCAATTGCTTGGTGTCAACAATAAATATCCATTGAATAACCACAGAAGGGAATAACGCCATATATGCTCATATCTACATATAGATCGTGGACAACATCACCAAAACATCCAAGCTCCTAACTGATGCTTTTTTGTATCAGCCAGATGCTCCCATCAGAATCAGGACTGTGATAAAAGGCCGTTACACTCCTCGATCAAAACGAAAAGAAACCGGAAAGAGCATGAGAAACAGACAACCAGGACACCACCGAGTAAGCAAATTGGGGATGTTCCTCAGGACAGGAGAAAAGTATATTGAACAGAGTGCTCGAAGACCGTCGATACAATGCAAAGCCAAAAAGCCGCCTCTAGGAACTCGTTGCACATGTCTCTCTTCCAGCCATCCACACCATTGGTATATGGCAGGCCCGGCATCAAGAGTTGGATGATTAGCCAGGCAAGGAAAGTATCGGCGAGTAGCGTCGCCTGAGGTGCCAAGTGAAATGTAACGGCAATTCCAAGGCTTATCCATGGCGATGTGTCCCGGACTCTCAGATAATGGCTCCACAAACTTGCAAGTCGGATATGAAGGCTTTTCCGAAAACATCTCCTTCGGCTTGGAATTCCCCAATGGCAAAATAAACAAGACAGAGACCCCGTAGAACAGCCAGGATTAATATGCGCAGTACTCCAGGATGATTCTGTAGATTCATTATTTTCCAGGGTTGATTTACCCAGGATAGCCAAGGTTTTGTGACGACGACTCCTTGGAGGTATCATGATATAGGCAGCGAAGAAAAGGCATCAACTTTTGTCTCTCTACCGGGTGCGACGCGGGGCCTGGCTCTCTCTTGTTGCCTGTGGCCTGTTGCGGTCAAACTCCGGGGTATATCTGGGATCCATTCCTATCCGGGGATCGGGAGCTGTTGTGGCAGGATAAGTCATTCCAGAGGTGACCGGGGAATAGTCCGACTCAGTTTCATAGCCAGGTCCTGTGTAGCGTGGAGCATTACTTCTCCCGTTCTCATAGGGATAGCCAGTGTTGCTCGTGTAGGTGTATGATGGGTGCATGTCCGCAGACACTGCGGGCTGGCCTGGAGCAGAGTAAGGGACTTGCGGAGGGTAGGGATTCTGTCCTGCCGCAAAAGGCGAATGACTTGAAGGATATGATGATGGAGCTGTGTATGGGGGCTCTGGGTTGCACCGTACGGGGCCTGAGTGTATGGATCCACATAGGGTTGACTAGGTGGTTGAGAGTACGTAGGTGGTGGTGACGGGCCTCCTTGCTGGCGCACTTCATGAATAGAAGAAGATGCGTAAGGCGCTGGGACCACGTTAGGGGCTTGACGAACGTTGTAGTCGTGAATGTAACTACCTCTTGGATAGCCTTGGTCAGCCCGACGCATGACGTCTGCTTCCCAGCGAGCGGAGTCCGCTTTGAGATCAGCAATCATTTCCTGAGCGTAACAGTCAGCCTGAATTCTTCTATTTCTTCCTTTCTCTGGGCTTTCCATAGATTCGCACTTAGAAGGGGGGAGGCTGTTTTGGACATACAGAAGTCAGATTTCGATAAGCACGGATGAAGTAGCCCTGACGACCCTGTTCGCAATGAGTCAGTAGGAGAGCAAATGGTAAGGCAGGTTTTGACAGATTTGAACTGCTTGGTTGATTTTAAGATAGGAGAGACTGGGAAACAGACATTATGGTTTCCGGGTCTTACGAGTGCATCATTTCCAAGGTATCGGCAAATGTCTGCTTGGATGACTTCCCGGCTAATTCCATCGCCAGGGATAAAGTACTCGTTCTGACGCTCCGGGCGTCCTTCATATCCATGGCGTCCAGTCATTTTGTTCCAGGGAGAAGGTATCCGGTATTAAGTGATTAAATGCAATGGATCCAAGTGGCCACAACGAAGTCCGGGGTGGTATAAAACAAGTAGCCGAGGTATCCAGGAAGTGGGAAGTTGACAAGATGCTCTCTTGGGTTGATTGCAAAGAAAACAGCACAAGTACGGTTTTATTAGGCCGCGTCCAGGGAACTCCAAGGCTGATGGTTCAAGGCTTATCCGATATTTCCTTTCCGTCTCGCAAAAAGCACACACTTAAAATGCAAGCTTCAAAGACGTGAACTGCTGGTTGGGTGATTATTACCAGGAGAAAGAAGAAATCCAGGCAGTGCGTATCTGTCCACGGACGGCTGTCAAGGGCTGTCTTCCAAGATCCTGAGGTGATTTCCTTTTTCTTTCTTTTTGTCTCTCTAGTGATATAGATTCAAGGACCGCGACCAAGTCATGCAAGGGAAAAGTCGAAATCCAGTCCGGAATGGATGACCGAGGATCTAGGAGACAGGGGATCAGGGGGTGAAGCTTTGCGTGGGGTGTCTCTCTCCGGTTTGGTGATGGTGAGTCTGATACCTCCAACACTCCAAGAGTTATAAAGGAATACTTCGGGCTGGCGGGGGAAAAAGTTTGCCAGGTTGCGCACTAGAAGGAACAGAAGGGAAGAAGGAAGAAGAGGAAGAAAATTATCTACGCGGGAGAGAAGAGAAATCGACGGGGAGATAAGAGAGGCTAAAGACGCCAGCTCAGCGCACAGAGGGAGAGAGGGGGTGTGGGCATTTGGCACATTGGCAAGGGAAAAACAAGGGCTGGTGGGTTGTGTTTGTGCTCATTCGATCCGACCAAGGGCGCGGTTGGCTCATTTGGGCTGTTGGGCCGGCGTATTGGGCTGCCTGGCCTTGTCTGGTGCCACGACGACTCCACCTTGTCATTGGTGAGAATTCCGAAAATAAATAATGATCGAGGCGAAAAGAAAGGTAAAAAAGAAAAATAATGATGATTACGAAGCGACATGCCTACGGAGTAAGCAGATACTTACTACTGTACGAGACTACCTTACCTCAGTTCCTAGGTACCTACCTACCTACCTACCAAGAGAGGGCTCACATCCAATGACTGCGCTAAAGACTCCCCAAAACATGCATGGTGACAAATACGGCTTGCAGAAGATTTTCCAGATCTAGGTAGTCGCGCTTCCTGAAAAATAATTATTTGGATGTCGTCCGTCTGGTCAGTAGTGCGTAGGTAAGGCAGGAGGCAAAATATGAGACTCTTCGGGTCGTCTTATTGACAGCGAAACGGTCTATTGGCCATCCTTCAATAGATCAGAATATAAAGAACCTAACTCATGGAAGTGATGCAGATCGAAGCTGTCAAGTTGCACTGAATATACCTGCTGTCATACTATCTAGCCTTCCAGCCACTGGATAGACGCAGAGGTGGGAAAGTTGAGACCCAAAAAGGCGACACTGTGTTGGAGGTAGATAGAAACATTCAGAGAACGTATCAACGGTGAGTAGAGACTTCGCAGCCCGGTTATGGTACTTTTAACGCTTTCTCCGTCCATTTAGTAACGATAAGGTAGATCTGCCCATATGACTCTTTCCAGTGTTCGCTTATATATCTGAATCTATTGTTAATCGACCTAGTGACTCATTTCGTAGCTCACACTTCGAAGAGTTCCTGAAGACACCTCATAGGCATGCTGATATGCATGTCCAGTTGTTCCATGGAGTCTGCAGTTTCTGGCTGGGGACACCTAATGATATTTCCAGTACCAGTCAGTTACAGAGGGAGGATTGGAGCACTCCGTGTACAGAAACAGTGAGGGACTGTAACTTGAAGAAATGGTCGAGCAGGTCGAAGGAGGGGCGTTGGGGATTGGCCCTCAGTAGTCCGTAGCAGGCAGATAATCGGCAGAGTGCAGACAGTTGGGCAGAAATGCGTGGCGGGCTAGAGGGGCCTTTGGGCATCCCAACCCGCTCATTCGTCGATCCAGCGTATGGACCCAAGACTTCAAGTGCGCCAATCTAAGGTAACAATTGTACCCGCACCGGGCCGCTAACCTACCTCTGGTTGCGCTGGGCTCTTTGTGCCTTTCTTCCATGGATGAAATTTCATCATGTGAGAAAGTGGTACTTTTGAGATACTGGAGCCCCAGTGACAGCCGCCTCAACTATGGCCGGTGCATGCGAGGTACTCTTGAAAGTTGAGACCCCTGCCTTGTTATCGCCTCTGATGGTGATCATGATCTCCTGTGGCCAATAGCTTACCATGTCCGTTTTTCTCAACTAAGGTACTTACCGCATCTACATCATCGTACTTCAGCACCCTCACTTGACTTTACTTGGTTGGCTGCATGGTCAGCTTCTCTTCATGATGATACAATACATTCTTCTCAGCTTTCCAGAATATGCAACATGCTAGCCTCGTCCAGCTTTTCTCCCTCGGTCTTATTTGTAATGTGTCATCTAAAGCCTTATTACATGATTCAAACGCTTTGCTAGGAATCAGGACAGCAGACGTTCTGGTACAGGTCATTTTCGCAACCAAGAACAGAGTTCATGAGCGAATTCCCTTTCCTTAGTCCTTACACTACTGCATTGATGGTCGCGTGGTGAATGGCGCGCTCATAATTGCCTTTTACGCCCTACCTAGGCTCTTTATTCTTCAAGGGCCATCACCAGACATGGCATCTTCGTGATCCATGCCTTGCGAGCGCTAGATCTGCTGAGACACATATCTGCTGCTCAAATGATATCGCAACAGGTGTCCTCTCTGTGCTGCATGGTCTCCATCAGTTGCTGCATTTATCCTTCGGCCTTGCAGTTGCATGGAACAGGAGTTGCCGAACTGAGACCTACTATCCTTTGCCGTGCTTCCTGAGATACTGGTCAGCCGAAGCTCTCTGGTCAGTAATGTAGTCAATCTAACTACGGAGTGGTTGGACATGGTTGGCTCATAGTGCCCTCCTTTGTGAAGACGCCTTGATTAATTGACGACAATGTTGTTTCGACTGTCTTGCTTTGAAGCACTCTTTCGCTACGGAGGTGTGGGTCTGTGAGTTCATTACCGAGAACCAATTAGCATTTAACAGATCACGTGGTTTCGATCTTCTGATGCACAGAGGTATTCAGCTGGAATAATTCAACCCAGCGCACTCGAACCTATAGACCTATCCATGCGCTCAAAGACTGCCTATCTGAGTGAGAATGCGCCCACAGTTCAACATTGAGGCATGGCTCTCACACACAATCTAAACAGTGGATTGTCATTCAGGTCCATACTCAATCGCATCGGAGCTAACTGTTTCTGGTAATGGCGGGGATCCCCGCTAAGATATCCCGAACCCATGTCTTTGGAGTTGACCCGACGTGCGCGATGAGAACCAAATTTTCCAGACCAAAACATGGTGCATCGACGACGTTACACTCACAAATTCAAGCGTAGCACTTGATACATACAGACTTCGCCATGACTATGATACAGTCCGCTTCGACATGTCTCGCTCGTCTCTGGATCCCTCTACCGCTCTGTCGTCTTCGCCCAGCAGCTCCGTGAAACGCCAGTCTCAGTTCACTTACCGTCAACTACAGCTTCTACGCCAGGGTTCCACGGCGACTCCACTGAGGGTAATCGCTCATATTGACCTCGATGCCTTTTATGCACAATGTGAGATGGTACGGCTGGGAACGCCGAAGGAGACGCCTCTCGCAGTACGGCAATGGGATTCGCTCATCGCGATCAATTATCCCGCTCGATCCTTCGGTATAAGCAGAATGATGTCAGCCAGCGAAGCGCAGAAGCATTGTCCCGAGATTGTTCTGCAGCACGTGGCCACGTTTCGCGAGGGAGAGGGCGGGAAATGGGCTTACAGGGAAGACGCATTCAAGAATATCAGTACAGATAAAGTATGCTTGGATCCGTATCGTGCAGAATCTCGAAAGATTCTGAAAGTGATGAAGGAAGAGCTTTCGAGGTGGCACGCGGAACACGTGGACAGCGAACATGGAATCGGCTCGCACTATCAAGTCCAACCTGCTAGCCTCGAAAAGGCCAGTATTGACGAAGTATTTATCGACTTGTCGCCACTCGTATACGCTTTATTACTTCAACGGTACCCGGAACTGCGTATCGGACCGCAAGGTGACGAACGCAGTATTCCGTTGCCTCGCCCCCGACGACGGCGTTGGTATGGAGTACCGAAGACTGCTTGATAGACCTTGATGAGAACGAGACGGAAGTTGATGATCCTGACTGGGATGATATTGCCATGCTCATAGGCTCGGAGATTGTTCGCTCAGTCCGAACAGCTGTCTGGGACAAGCTCAGCTATACCTGTTCCGGGGGCGTCGCCAGAAACAAGATGATGGCCAAATTGGGAAGCGGTTGTAACAAGCCAAACAAGCAAACAATCGTCCGAAACCGCGCGATTCAGAATTTTCTGGGTGGCTACAAGTTTACCAAAATCAGAATGCTTGGAGGCAAACTCGGAGACCAGGTGGCTACTCTCTTCGGTACAGAGCAAGTGAGCGATCTGCTACAGGTGCCACTCGAACAATTTCGTGCTAAGCTTGACGATGACACTGCGAGCTGGCTCTACGGAATCATCCGTGGCGAAGATAAGAGCGAGGTGAATCCAAGGACACAAATCAAATCCATGTTATCCGCAAAGTCATTCAGGCCGAGCATCAATTCTGCAGACCAAGCCGAAAAGTGGCTGCGGATCTTCGCGGCCGATATTTACGGTCGCCTTGTTGAAGACGGCGTGCTTGAAAACAGACGCCGTCCAAAAACTGTCGCTTTGCATCATAGACAAGGCGGTCAAGTACGCTCTCGCCAACTTCCCATTCCAGGTTCGGCAACAATCGACGAGAGTCTTTTGTTCGGACTTGGTAGAACATTGCTCCGGCAGGTCATAGGCGATGGACGTGCATGGCCATGTGCCAACCTCTCCTTGAGCGTTGGTGGCTTTGAAGATGGAGTGAACAAGAATCAGGCGATAGATAGCTTCTTACTTCGAGGTGAACCGGCGAAAAGTGCCGCTCAAGCCACGAAAAACCTGGACTCAGCGGAACGGACGGGGTCAGATCATCATGTCGAGAAACGAAGGAAGATCGACAGTAGCGGGATCAAGCGCTTCTTCAATTCACCCTCTGAATTTGCCTCTGAAACTATCTCCTTCGACTTAGATTCGGCACAGTCTGGTGAGAAAAATGAAGACGACTGTACAGGTGCACTTCAGGGCGAGTCATCTTTGCCAGATGCTCAAACGATGGCGACCTCATCCGCTTTATATACCTGCAATCGGTGCCAGAAATCACTCCCAATCGATGAACAGAACGAGCATGAAGATTGGCATTTCGCCAAAGATCTCGAACTTGAAGAAAGACAGGCAGCTAGAAAGAATCAGCAGATGTCGCGTCCCAATAATTCGGATACGCTTCAAGCTCGTGGGAAAGGTGGTCGCAGTGCTCGCGGAAAGCCAGAGAAAGGACAGACCCGGCTCAGTTTCGGGTGACGGCTCAATTAGCTCTCGCTTCAACATCTGACAATCTCCCGGTCTGCTAGGTAGCGGCCCTACTGCGAACGGTGTGGCATATCAATCAAGCAGTATTTGCCTAAACCTATGAATGTTCTAAGTCTTACTGATTTAAATCCACACTTTTAAGCTTGATTGATGGTGCATGTTCTTTTTCCTGGATGAAGCACTCCATGACCTATGGATTACCTTGATGTTATTGTGGACCTTCCCAGATTATTAGATGTGATTGCCTCACGGCTTTCAGGAGATCAGTGGTCTGTCCAGTATAACCTCGTGCATAGGGAGCATCATTCCCGTCCAGAGCCTTCGTAGGAAGCTTAACCTTGTGAGCTAGCATAACACACGCTTAATTGGCTGTCTGTGGCTCAGACTTGCTGAGAAAGCTGCAGCTTGCACCCTGGCCCTGCATTGAGGCGATAACAATTAACTGCATCTCAATCTTAAAAAATATGGGTCTACCCCATGTCATCACATAAGACCTTTCTTGGTAGAACTATATCAACGAAGGTGTTCGCTCCGACAGGACTGACGTGTAGCGAGAGAGCTAGTCCACAGTTGAATATATGCCTAAGAAATTACAGAGAGCATGTCGCTCTTTAATGAATGTCATCGCCAAGCGAGATACCGTAGTTTTCAACTCTCTTAGTCGAAATTGCTGAACTGGTACCTGAGTTTACTCAAAAGTCAACGAACCACGGTTCAAGGAACCATACAGACTGGAGTATGAACCTATTTTCAATGTCGGCATTTTCAATTCCTGCTTCAGTCCTATGAATAATTGTCGCGGCTTCAATTTCTGCGCTGGATTGCTCGTATCTACGTCTCACCAACAATGACTACTGCACAGCATCCTGCAGCGGTGACATCAGCGAAGCCAGCCGCGGTTGGCTGTGTTTGGTGGACAGGAACTTGTTCGTTGGCAAGGCTCAATCCATGCTTTTTACGTCGCAGCAAGCTACGCATCCCGTCAGTATTTTCTGGCCCTCAGCAGCTTCTGAAATTCGTCATCGAGCAACTTTGTTCGATATCTGCCAGCGGTCGTTCGGACCCCTCGTACAGTGCCCCTCACCAATGATTTCGATGCGTAGAAAAGCACAACACGATAAACCCGCACTACTTTCATCGCTCAGATTCTACTCACTTCATTGGACAGTCTCGCATCTCTCAAATTTCAGGTATGTCCCGACGAGCACGAAACCATGAGTACTACGAGGAGGACCTCTACGAGGAAGAAAGCGATACATATCGACGTCCGCGGCGGTCTCGACGCGAGCGCTTCGCTGAAGACGATGAATTGCACTACGGACGTCGAATGTCCACCCCGCTTCCCGTGGAAGAGTTGGAACGCCTACACATACGAGAACGGTCAAAGCCCGACTTTATTCGCGAGAGCTTTGATCCATCGCGGAACCCTGGCCCCCTGGCTGTGATGCGGGAGCGGGAGGAAAATGAGATGGACATGCCTCCGCGCGAGACATTGAGGGGCTACGAGTGGGACAGGCACGAGCGTCGTGAGCGACCTCGGCGTAGGAGAGCCGCTAAGGAGGAGGATATCTACTTCCAGGAGGAATTGGAAAGACGGAGGTATACAGGGGCCGAATATGATGAGGGAGAAGCTGAGCTGCAGAGGGAAAGGCCGTCGATACCGCGACCTAACTTGGATAGCGAGAAGGAATTTGTACGCTTACATCGCGACAAGAAAGCGAAGAAAGGCTCGCGGATGAAACACGCAGAACTTGATATTGAGCGAGATGAGCTTTATCGCCGTGGGTCTGACACCAGGCGGGAGCATACCAGGCTCCATAGTGATGTTAGAGAACATACACCAGCAGCACGCTTACGACCGAGAGTTCCCCGGCAGCCAGATGGAGACGAAGAAAATGAAGAGGATATCATTATCCGAAGAGATGAGCGGAGGGGTCGAAGGGGCAGGTTCAAGGAAAAGGAAAAGATTAGCATGCGAGAAAGAGGAATCTCGACGTCCCCGGAGTCGCCAAGTTCGAGAGAGCTTTCGCAGGTTCGGAAGTCTCATGTTACATCTGTTGAACGCATGAGAAATGGTGAGTTGAGAGATTGAGCGCTCAAGTCAGATGCTTATTTCCCATCTATCGCAGGTTATGAGTTGCCTCATGCACCACTTGCACCCAGTCCAGAGCCTTCTTCTCCGAGTAGCTTCGAGGAGTTGGAGATTCGTCACCGGTAAGCCGATAATCGTTCCATTGAAGTTCAAATTACATGCTTACTATTGTATAGTACACGAGGACGCCCAAGGAAAGAGAAGATCGTTATAGAACGACGCAATGATACTTCACCTCCATACATACGTTCATCTTCAGAATCTGGCAACAAAAGCGAGGACGAAATTGACATCACTCGCGCGAAATTAAAGACCTCAAACAGAAAAGAGGACGTTTTGATTATGGAACGTCAACCCCAACGCCACGAAAGTGATGAAGAGGTCCAAGTCTTCGAGGAGGAACAGTACACCCGCCGCGATTTGGGAGGGCCTCAGCGACGGAGCACACCCACAGTCGCTGTTGAAGATAAAGCGATAGTCCGGGTTGACTCAGGAAGCCATGGCAGTGCAGACCAGGAGATGCGACGGGAGCGGCGTGTATCCACACGGCGATCCCGATCCATCAAGGGCCACGGAAGACTGTCTGACGAGAACATCGACCGCAAAGATGGTCGAATCGGACGGCGATACATTGGCGTAAAAGACAAGCGAGATCGTCTCTGGACAGAAATCACCAAGGACCTGGTGGTCAGGGAGGCCATTGAGCGGGCCGGCTATGAATACGAGGAAACGGACTCGTTCTATTACATATTCTCGTATCTTGGATATGTGAGTCTAGGCCTTCTTGTGCAAACCCACACTTCCCCTTGTAGATTTCGTGGCTTCCTCCGGCCCGGCTGACAGCTCTCCACGACCATAGGACGATATATCGGCCCTTGTCGCACTATCGGAGGACATCCGCCGTGCACGACGCCAACGAATTCAGGAGATCAGCAGGGAGCGAGCCTCCATGCGTATTCCATTCGCACCTGAACCAGTCGCACCCGCTCCCGTGTTACCGGGGAGGCCGCCATCTCCGCGTCTCCGACCTCGGGATGAGCGGAGACTGAAGAAAGAGCGGGAGCTCATTATCGAAGAAGGACGATGGAGACCAGGTCCAGCTCCATTGGACAGATGGTGACGGAGCAAGCTCGCTCCACCGTTGAGACTGATTGGAGTGTGGCTTGGTCAAACGGTCGGCCGACGTTTTCAACCCTCTTATGATTCTGAGCCTGAAATAGATACCGACAACAGATACCCAGTTTCTTTTTTTCTCTTCCTGCTTGTCAGCTACCTCTCGAAGTTTATCGCTCTATCATTTTCCAGGTGCTCTTATGCCCATCAGCAGACGAATGTTGGTCTGTCGGGTCAGCGAATGCAGGGCCCTGGTCAACCTTGTACTCTGAAGCAGCAGTAGGACGCTGAAGACATGCCCAGCTTGTATCAAGAGTACCCGTCAAATGATATTCGAGGAATTGATGGATATTTCTCAATCAACTACGTTATCCACAGCTGACCATCCCACACCCTTCATGAATTTATTTATATGGCAGATGACGTGGATCTATGGAGTACCGCTAGTGCCATTCGATATGTTCCAAACAATGGAGCCCAAGGCACCGAATGACCGATCAACTGTCTCAGAATTTGTGGATACCGTATTAGCAGGGCATGATCCATACTCCGTAGGTAACTTAGGGACTTCATTTCATGTATGGTAAATGATCCTCCTCGACGCATGTAACCAAACATGACATGCGTATTTTGTACTATGCATCTACCTTAGCGAGCGATAGTTAGACTTGCGGAGTACACCCATGAGCGTGGCAAAGGAGAGAGAATCCTCCATAGGGACCCGATTCACATATCAGGTAGTTCAAGTACCTTGAGTAGGTAGCCAGAGGTGGTGATGCGACCGATGTTTGGTGCCTGTTGTCTAAGGCCTGCAGCGAAAAGGGATGGAGATACTATGGATTCGTTGCGACAGCCAAACACATCGTTTCTAAGTGGAATAGCTTACTCATAGTCCACAATTTCGATGTACAATTCTAGGGTTCTCCATAACAACTCCAAATTTAGGACCAGACACGACACCAAAATTACAATGACATAAAAGGAGGGGGGAAGACGACGCCACAGAAGTCAAAGATTGAGTTTCCACAATGGAAATATACCGGCGCAACGGGAATGGCTGCACTGACACCAAGGCATTAAGGTAGACTACTGGTCAATGTCAAGTTGTCAACTACAGCTGCTATTTTAGTTCTGCCTCATTCCGTTCGCTTCGGCTTCTTCTTGTTCTGCTTTTGGTGGTTTTTAGTTTGACTCCCGTTGGAACGTCTGTATAACCTCCTAGGATGAAAATGAAAAAGATATGAAAGAATGAGGCATTTTGTTTCTGCCAGTTTACCTGTCTTTTTCAAGGAAATTGATGAGCTGAGAGCTCTGTAGTAAATATAGGTAGCCGGTACTGAAAAAGGTCTAGACAGTGCCTGGACTCTACTCCGTATGGAGTAAGGGATCGGCAATGGCCAATCGGCGAATCGAGGGGCATTCAGAATTCCACTTTTCATTTTCCTTCAGCCACAATCAGAAGAAATGAAGGATGAAGGATCGACTGGTTATTTGAAGCTAGTGGGCGTGGTGAAAATTACCAATTTCAATGTTTGTGACCTCGATTTTAAGGTAACATTACAGGTCCTGTTGTTGGTAAGGTATCCAGAGAAGCTTCTCAACAGTTCTGTATACTGAACAAAGCCACATGATCGTCAACTTCAAGTGGTGTACAAAGACATATGCCTTGTCAAACCACCAAGTCGGACCTGATGCGTTAAACTAGCCCAGAAGGCTTTCGACTGGTGATAGTTCAAGTTGGCAGCCGCGTTTTCCGCGGTGTTCTTGAGAGTAAGGTAGACTTGGACGTAAGTCGTTGTAAGTCGTTGTCGTTATCTACCTACTTATTCAGGGTGACAATCCTAAGTAGTAGTATCTATGGAGTAGACGTCCCTTGCTCCCATGCCTGCCTACCAGCTTCGACAAGCTCAAACTAGACTGCGATCGACTAAACGAAGACCAGGACTCAGAAGAGAAATTCAGAAGGCGGGGTTCGCTTCCTTATCAATCGACCAGATACACAACTGGAGACTACCTTAGAGTTGTCATCGCTCGCGTTTGTAGCGCTGAAGTGGTCAGAAGTAGAGTTTTGATGTAAGTGCTGCAGGCTGCAGCGATGCAACTCTCGCTTCGCATAAGTGTGAGATCCTTCGTCTGCAGGATGCCGGAAAGTATCGAACGCATATTTTATACTTTTTGTACATCTTCAGTCTGAGTTGACCTTTTCTACCTTGGGGTGATTCGTGGTAAATAGTGCTGCTTGGTCACATGCATAGCACCTGAGCTGAGAGTAGGTAGCGATCATACAACTAAGGTCACGTCGTGAGTGGGAATTGAGCAAGTTCGCACAACCGTTCCCGAGCGTCTTGGTGAAATGGGATGATGAGAGATGCTCCCTGGGGAAGTAATTGAAAGAAAAGACAGTGGAAGGTGCCTCCCTAGAAAATTTCCATGCTGAGTAGACGAGTCCCTGAGCAACAGCGACATGGGTTGAATAGTAGGCTTATCACGAACATACCAGAAATATATATCCAAGTACCTCAGCAGAAAACAATACTATTGACATTGATTGCTGTTGTATTTCCACAGAAGCATGACATGTGAACAGCAATTGCATGCTTTTAGAGTTCTAGATCCGAGGATCGCCGGGTTTCTTTTGAGTTGTCTAAACTTTCATGCTACACAAGTGTTTCTGTCATCATGATGATCTCGTGGATGTAACCCTCCATGAGCCAAAAAGTATAGCAGATTTACGTTGCTGTACCTGCACCGCTCGCATCAAGTCATCACTGGAAGATATATATTGGCTCATGAGTCGATCTGGCCAAGGATATATCATTTATGACATCCATGGATTTCCTCGGTGGCCACCCTTGGGTACTAGCACGGGATGAATCCAAGAGGTACCTTGGTAGAGCAACACAGCCAACCATATATATACACCACCTACCTTAATGACGCTTGATTATTATAAAGGGCAGATGCAGGACAAAGCATGAGAGCCGAGATTACTCCTGTCAAATGTTCTAAGTACAGAGTCAACATTCTAGACCATCCATTTGTTTCCAGAATCTGGCAACCCAGTTGCCAAGATGGCGCTCCACTTTTCTGGGTACCTTTTCCTGATGTTGTTGTGCGTGGCTGGGAAGTGATGATTCAGACTTAAGTATCCACTCGTTTTTCAAGCTCACATTCAGATAGTGGATCAGCTTCCATTCTCGGGCCTCATCTGCTTGATGGACATCGGACATCCCTAAGCATTTTACCTTAGGAAGGGAGCCCAGGTATATCAAACGGTATGTAATGATTTGGAATCAGTACCTACCACCTGCAACTGTTGGCCCCACAAAATCCACATCGGAGGCCGTGCTCCTTCTTGGACGCTGAGTTGCTTGGAAATCAACGGGATGACACGGTAGATCCCATTTTCCAGTACCATCTGTAAGGTAAGTTTTGTAATTAGGCACAAATTATGTTTGTAAGAAGCAATGTGAATAGTGAAATTGCTTTTCAAAATTTCCAGTCTACATTGCAGAATGCCTAGTAAAATTTATTCGTTCAGAGCTCGTACCCGTACGGAGCAGCACCTTACGTATGCCCGATTTCTCAAACTTGTGGCTGGTGAATGACATGACGCGGCCGATGGATAAGGTATGTCTGCCAATTGTCCACGGTGCCATACGACTATGTAGTCTGTAAGGAAATTGATATATGAGTTCTTCAAAGTAGTCAGATAGTGACATGGCTACGTCCAAGCATGTCAGGAAGATTATATTTTCAATGTACCTAAGCTTCGAACTTGCCTAGTTAAGTCTAAGCGATTTCAACTTGACATTCTTCTGCCTCAAAGACAGCGATGCTCATTAGTAGGTAGGTAAATAGACCTCATGTAACGGCATGTGTACCAAGCATTGACCATTACATAAACTCTTACGGCAGCAATGCGAGGCCCATTGTTCCTATGGCTTTTACCCAGAGCAAGGTACCATCTACTTACGCAGTTTTTTGCTGGGATGCATTATCTACAGATCGTCTGATGTTGCTGAAGCTCGAAACAACGCACTGACTGATCTTTGATCTATGTTCTATTAAAATTATTTAATGGACGAGAAGTACTGATTAGACAAGCACTTAGATTGATAGACAGTGCCTGATGCTAACAGTGTCCTATTGCAGACTCAAAACAACCTTATTATGACAGGAAACTTAAATGCATCTGTATCTCAGTGCCAGTACCAGCAAACATTACCACATCTTGAAGGCTGAACATATAGCAAATTACTGTAGCAAGTGACCAACTTACGCAAGTATTTCTGTCTTCCTGGGATCCATTTTAGAGGCTGATTTAAGTGCTTTTTGTGGAACCCGTATGGATCCACTTATCCTGTCACAATTTAGGTTGTTGTTTTTGTTTACACAGTAACTATACCTACCTAGGTAAGGTACCTGGAGCATTCCCTGTTATTTTACAAAGCATGGTAAGGTACATTAACATCTCAATGGTCCAACTTTATAATATCGTACCACTATGTATTGATTATCTATTATTTATTATTATTCTTATCGTTATTTTTAAGTTTGGAGACTACCTAGTGGACAAGATCCCGGTCTACAAAGTACTAAATACTTGCTTCCTAGGTTCCCAGTTTCCACTGCAGGACGTAAATTAATTCACCCGACCAACTCGCAACCTTATCATTGATCGGTCCTGTTCGACTCTCCCGCTGTCAAACCACATCCTCCTTCTGCCTCATCCATCTCACTCCCTTTCTGATATCCTGTTTCTTTTGACATCCTGGGATTTCCACTCGCTTCTTCTCTACCTGTCTCTCGTTTTAGCTCCTCCCACTTTCCCAGTCGCTCACCTATCGGTCGCTCGACATTCACTCTCTGGCTCCATGCCCAGGAGCCTCTCATCGGCTTCTCCGGTTCTGCCAAATGCCTCGTTCTGAGCCCCGTCACACGAAAAAGCAGGTTTAAGTTCAAGCTGAATTCTTCTGCTTAGAGGCTCTCCAGCTTCGAATCAAATTAATCTGGTGGGTGGCTCCCCTGACTGAACGTGCACTTTTTCTTTTTTCTAGGTGCCATCAAAACCCTGGCTCATGCTGGACCCGCACGACTAAACTACTCTTAGGTACCAGAGGTTATCGATATATCTACGGGACTGGGGACTGCCGTTGAATAGTCGACTATTGCACTCTTGAGGTGTCGGACTTATTTCGACATCATTCACCCACGGAGCAGATGCTCTTAGCGTCTCATAGCTTACCATAAACGCTTCGTCGATCTAACGTTTATTCTATTTCACCTGCCGACCATCAACTACAGGATCCCTTGGGGACAGGCCCAGGTGCACATCGAGCATAATTAAGGGTGGGATCGTTAAAAAGGATTGCACAGTTTCAAAAGCCTGCCGAATTAGGGGTGTACACGGACAGGACACAAAAGCAGGGGGTGGAATACTATATCTCCTAATCTGCACTTGCCAAGATTTCGCCATGGTTTTCGACTTGAGTCTTCTGCTGTTTGCTTTACTTGCATCGCCAGTTGCTTCCGATATCACCTACTGCTCTTCCGTGAACACTGGTTCCTCGTTCTCTGCCAGTAGGTAGCCCTGACCACCTCTCTCTGCCACCAAGTGATATCTGATCTTTTTCTCCTTACAGACATCAGCATCTATCAGTCGAATGGACTTTGCACGGACACCTGCAATGCTGATTATGCCTTCGCGATCCTCCAGGGTAAAGAATGCTGGTGCTCGAACATAGCACCCAACAAAGCTACGAATACCGACATTTCCGATTGTGCCGTAGGATGTCCAGGATATCCGACGGACAGCTGTGGAGATGCCTCTAAGGGCCTGTATGCTTATATTCAGATGTCCTTACATAATCCTTCGGGCACAGCAGCTGCTCCATCCTCAACAGACTCGACAAAGTCCACGGTCAGTAGCCTTTGCCTCGAACTTCGTCCCCACGCGACTCATTTATTGCCAACCGTCCCAAGGAGCCCTTGAACTCTGATTGCTAACGTCACTGTAGTCCGACAAATCCAAAACAGAGACCACTGACTCTAAAACAACTACCACAGCTCCTACAACTACTCAAAATACTCTTTCGATTCAGACTGTTGCTGGAATTGTGAAGACTATAACAGTCTCGGATACGAAACCAACTGCGACGACAGCGACCTCACCCTCGTCGGATGCACAAAATGGAGGCTCTGGAGTTTCGGGCGGAACTATTGCCGGCGCTGTTGTTGGCGCTGTCGGTGGCTTAGCGGCAATCGTCGCGATTATCTTCTTCGTCCTCGCATCCAAACGTCGCTCGCGAGCCCAGAGCCCCGATCCGAGCGTTTCGAACGTTCTGCTCGACGGAAGGCAAAGCAAGGGCTCTCAGATGAGTTTCGTGAAGGGCATGTTCTCTGATGGGCATAGTCACACATTATCCGCCGGATCGACGATAACACCCCAACGTATGCCAACTTTCACTGATAACCGCTTGAAAACGGACACTGTACTTTATGGGAACGGGCGTCGGGATAGCGACGTGTCGCTCCAGGATAATGAAGACTACTCGCGTCCGGTGCTGCGGGTTAGTATTTCCCCAGTCGTGCACGCCTTGACCAGTTTGGTACTGATATATATTTCATAGCTGACCAACCCCGATTAAACACGGGATCTGTGCACACGAATTTCTTTGCTTTCTGCATCTTGGAATCTCCTTATCTTGTGAATTCAACTTGTGCGACTCTGCGAAATCAGCGGTCTTATGATACCCAATTGTCACATAATCCTTCTTTTCTTCCTTGCATTTGAAGCATCGGCCTTCCTTCGGTCTTAATGACTGCAAGCTCCCGGGCATACAACTCGTCCATGGCTGCGAATCCGAACACCAGTGGAGCATCCGCGAGTACACGAACGATAGTCAAGTCATCCTGATTGGGGTATATTTTCATTTCTCGATGAGATACGATCCTCATTTCCAGCCTACGCTCTCTTTTGAGCTTCGCTTTATTTTGTTACCATTGAACATCGTGTACTTTTGTACATCAGAAACTGCATGGCGGCTGTGTTAATGGTGGGAGTACATAATGGGTTTCAGACTGCCAAACTTGATGCTAGTGTCATCACTAATCCCCCGGGGAACCCTCCTCTGCTCGTTTTTATTGTTTGAGTGCATTTCTCATTCGTCAGTTCTCACGAATTTCCTTCAGTTTCTTGTCCAAATAGAATTGTGAGCTGGATGAATACAAAGTAATTGAGACTACAAGTTCTCAGGGAGAGGCTGATCTGTAATAGGTCTACTGTATTACTCTTGCAACGGGACTAGGCACGCTTATTCAGTGCTATATGATATAGATCATTGCAGCAAAGATCTCCCAAAAGCTTGTAGCTAGCAGTTCCGTCTGTTCATACAAAAGCAAAAAAATAAGGCAAATCAGACTAAACCGAACCAACGCCGTCCAAAGAATCCAGAAGCCAAGTTCCAACCATTTCCAGTCCCAGACACCTGAGATCAGCAAGCACCGTCTGGAAAGACGAGGCAGTGGATAGTACATACCTTCCATTGGCGTATCCGACTCGGACAATTCTATGCCCATTACCCCATCACGAACTAGACGAGAGAGGATCAGTTAGCTGCCTTCCGCAAGAGATATTTCAAGACAGCGGGGGAGTCCGGTGCAAGATGCGCAGGCGCCTTACGACCATTGACATCCGCATTGCCCTGCTCGACGAGAATCCTCACGACCTTCAGCCAGCCGGCTTTAGCCGCAAGATGCAGAGGAGTCAAGCCACCGGGACCTCGCGCGTTGACGTCGACTGTACTCCTGGAGAGCAGCAGACGGACGACACTGGGCATGCGCTTGCGCAACCAGTAGTGGTCGTTCTGGCGCACCGCATAGTGGAGCTCCGTGAGGCCGCATTTATCGGGGATACCAACCCGGATCCCATGCTCGAGCAGCGCGACGGCGATCGATAGACTTCTCTCCACGATTTCGCGGCCAACGTATTCCATTGATTGGTATACCGCCTGATGGCTGAATTGAAGGGCGGCGTGGAGGACGGTTTTGCCGGTATGGTCCCTGATGTTGATGTCAATGCCGGCTGTGATGAGAATTTTGGCGAGTTCGGCACTCCCCTCGTAGAGGGCTGACCACAGAGCGGTCTTGCCTCTTGTCGACTGGGAGGAAAGCAGCTCAGGGTACTTTTCAGTAAGGAATTCAAGGACATCTGGGTGGTCGGTATTTGTCGCAGCATAGTGAATCATCGTTCTGCCATCAGGGTTGATTTGACTAAAGTCTGCACCTTTGTCAATGGCGGCTTTGATGACGTCCAAACTGCAACGGCTAGCAATAGTAGCGTGGACGGGGAGGTCCCCGGTGATGTCAACGCCGGCTGTGATGAGAGTTTTGACGAGTTGAAGGCTGCCGTTATAGATGGCTGACCAGAGAAATGTCGTGGCAGACTGGGAGGAAAGCAGCTCAGGGTATTTTCCAACGAGGAATTCAAGGACATCTGGGTGGTCACTATTAGTTGCAGCGTGGTGGATCGCCGTCCTGCCATCCCTACTGGTTTGTCTAAAGTCTGCACCTTTGCCAATGGCGAGTTTGATGACATCCAGACTGCAACGACGAGCGAGGGCGTGTATGACCTTTACCTGAGTATAATCAGCGCCTATATTGATCAGCTTTTTGACCATCTCATCGTCCATTTTCGTCGCGTCAAGGATAGGCGAGGTATATGGCGCGCACACGTCGTTCAAAGCAGGGTCAGCACCGTGCTCAAGCAGAAGGTCCACAATTGGCTCGTCCTTGGCGCGGACTGCCAGTGAAAGCATGCGACATCCGTCCAAGTCATATGCGTTCGGGTCGACACCTGCTTCTAGGTAGTTTCTTACCTTGTTGAGTTGATGACGTTTGATGGCTTGAACGAGCGGCTGGGAAGGCACCCTGTGCGTCCGTTTGCGAGTAAGAATACCCTTTCCATCCTCGTGAAATCTGATTCGCTGTTTGTACTCAGCTTCATCAGCGAGGGCATGCTGCTTGGCAGCTCTGGCCAGGGGGCGTTGCAACGTACCGTTGAGTCTCCGGGAGGTTTGGCCGAGACTGGCCACTGATAGAGGATCCAGGTGGTCAGAGATCGCCAGGAGGAGTTCCATAGGCAACTGCTCAAGCTGCGGCATTTTGCTTAGAAGTTGTTTTCTGCTTGAGATACCGCACGGATCGTATAGAGGATTGTGTGATTGTTGAAGGGTTGAGTGGTATGTTGGTTGGAAATGATATGGCACATCTGTGGGCTTTCGCACTTGCTTTATATTCTCCAAGTAAGGCATCCTAATGTATTCTGTGATTTTCTGCACGACTATTGAGACAATAACTTTGTGAAAACAGTAAGAGGGTTTGGAGATGCTTGACAAGGATTCTTAGAGACATTGTTCATTGATGCACGCTACGGAAGGTTCAGAATGAAAGACTCTTCAAGAGAAGTTGCAAGACTGTCAGTCTCACAAACTAGACATTCCTCACTGGCCAAAACCTTTCCTCAACCGCAACTTCAAAAACGTCGAGGATGAAACTTGAGCAATGACCGAAAGAAAGACGTTGTCCTCTCATCTTGTTCAGGACATGCCCTTGTCCGGTGAACAAAGAGATTGTCAACGGCCTTGTAAAGGTTTCATGACTAGAGGGGAATGAAGCCTCAAACCAAGGGAAAGAGATGTATCTCAAGGATATCGAAGGCTTCGGAAGTAGCCGCAGCATGACAAAGGTGACAAAGAGTCAATCCTCTCCCTTGATGAGTCAATCAATGGCCCTTCTTCCTTCATCAAGGCATGGGCTGTAAGAGATAATGTGTCTCTATTGTAAATGAATGCATCCATGTGAAAGCCCAGGCAAGACAAAGGGCAATAGAGACACAAAGCATTGCCGGGAAAATGCGATTGATGATGATGATGATGATGATGATGATGATGATGCTGAAGATGAAAGGGCAGAAACAATGCAAACCAAGCACATGACCTACCGGGACAGTTTTGCCCGATTGGGAAATGCGGATCGACTGACTGATCCAAGAAGATGCTTCGAGCGAATACAGTCTGCTATCCCTTGATCCGTTGGCTTCCCCGCTCCCTGCCTCGGATCTTGAGATGTATCTGTAACTCTATCCTTGCGACGGTGACATCATAAATGATATCGAAGAGTTGAAGAGTCACCATGAGATCTCGACGATCGCTGGCATCTTTTGAGATGTAACAGTAGATGAGAGGAAAACTCGCTGTCTCGTTTTGGCACCATCCTCCTGACATTGGATGCGAGGAAGCCGGATGGTTCTACGACATGCGCAGCGGTATGCTGAAAGCTCAGTTGGTTCCCTGCCACTGCTACAACAAATCTGAGTGGTCAACGCTAACGTGTCGCAGTACACTATAAGAAATCAGATCCGAAGGTTTATTCTAACCAATGCTATGGCCTTATCATGTTGCTCCCAGCTTCGTCCTTATCTGATATGTGCTTCTCCGCACCAAACGTAGTAAGTTCAAGCAGACCACGATAGAGCATATCTTTGGAAACACGGGGTGGAGAGGAGTCCTGATCGATCACACTTCTCGTCAATTGCTTTTTCTTATGCCACAGAAGACCCCCTTGCACATATAATCGCTTCATGAGCCTTGAGGCAGCTTTTGTCCCTGCCGAACAGGCGTAGTCACATGTTGTCTGTCCTTCTTCATCTATATATTGCTTCACGAGACACATGAGAATGCAGATACTCGGTATGCTCGGTGACTGGTGGTTGTCTGGTCTGGCTGTGACTGTGCTCGCTGGACTCTTCTTCGCCTTCGATCGCTCCCAACGCAGGAAAGTATGGCCGAGAATAAGTTTTCGGAGCCGCAAGACGTCAACTGCTGGAACGCCTCCAAGATCCATATCACCCGACAAGAAGCCGGTGATCGGTTCCGCGTCCCAAGTAAACTACGCCGATGTTTTACCACCACAGCGTCGGCTGGCCCTCGCTGCCCTGTCACAGAGCTCGGTACAACCGAAAGAAATTGACGAAGCCGAAGTCAGACGATTCATTCTGCCGATGACAATGGATTACCAAAATTGTCAAGAAGAAAGGTATACTCCGACGGGATTCTCTACAGAGGAGGTCAAAAAGTTAGGAGACTTCCCGGACTATGCAGCCCTAAGTGGCGTGCCTCTGCCCCAGCCATACAATGAATTCGTCATTGACAAGGCCCTACCGAGGCCATATCGTCCGTTCCGGTGGACATACCATCAGACCATGTGTAAGCCTGCCTGACCAGCGAACCGTCCACTAGAACCACCCCCACAAGCAGATTTAGGAGCTGATAGACATCATTTCGCATGCCCATAGCACTGACGAAAATGGAAACGGACTGGTGGATTGAGCTCGAATCCACATACAAAGCTCGAATCGCGCAACGCAAGGAATTATACGCCAAACACGGCTCATCAGTGCTCGGCTATCTTCCAGGCTCTGAATTAGCCAGCAAGGAACTGATGGAAATGGTCTTGCAGTTCCTGTGCGCCCGGTATCCTCAGTACTTCTCGCTAGAGAGCAAGAGGATATTCAAGAACAGAATCCTCGACACCGAGCAAGACATCAAAGCCAAACATCCTTTGGAGATCCTTCTCGACAATGTACCGGAAGACTTTGCGATCATGCTGCGCGACGAGGAGACAGGCTTCTATTTCCTCCGCGCGGCAGTGGTTTGCTCTGCTCTGGGATGGAATGTTGGATTGAAAATAGGACTTCAGCTCCATGAAATCCATGGGGCGATTCCGGACTATAAGGAAAAGATGCAGTTCTCTATGGATCGGTAGGTTCAATATGTAAGGAGAGTCGCAAGCCCAAGGGGTCGCTGACAAGTTCTCCGCTAGGTTCTTCACCAAAATGCCAACAGACAAACCAATCCAGAGAGGGTCCTGGGGTCTTGAAGTCGGACAGCCTCTGTATATGCCCCCAGGGGATCCTCACGAGAAACTTCGTCTGTCTCAAGACCCTAGCCTGCAGTTGGCCGATTGTAATCTGCGAGTGGATTGGCAGACACTGAGGCGTCTGCCTCTGTCGGCAGCGGTCGTCTTCAATTTCAAGGCACTATTCACGCCCGTATCCGAATTCCGTGATGAACCATGCGTACCAGCCTTGATAGCCAAGGTCCTCAGGGAAGGAAAAGAAAATCTGATGAAATATAAGAATACATGGCACGTGGAGCATGTCGTGCTTCCGAAGCTTGAGGAATGGGCCCAGGAGCAGGAGGAGCAAGGTCTCGTAGACAAGAATTGGCAAGTGGCTACATTGGACGAGAGCCCTTGGTTCAGGAACTGGGAGGACAAGTGGCATCGCCAGCAAGGTTTTTGATTAGTTTGTTTGAAGTGGTCCAAATGATGTTCTTGGTGCTTCTGTATAATCTTTATTATCAATGGATACCAAGTTGCTTCTAGTAATACACATACCTACAACAAACAAGCACGTAACCTACATGATATGTAGAGTCGAGGGTATACTGAAGCAAGAATATCCGTCGTTCTGCACAAAGATCATCCCCTGGTAGCGGTTTGGTGAGGTTCGTCATAAGACTTCTGAACTCAACCAGAGGTCCTTATCTTGCCCAGGAAGTTCCAGCAACACCACATATTAACTGTGCTTCCTTAAGCTTGGACTGTGACTCTGGATAGCTTCAATAGGCACCTGGCAACGAGGATGCCTTGAGTCCGCTTGCTAACGAGACGATATCTGCCCCATCTAGCTCGCGGCACTCAGTGGTGCGAATACGTGAGGAGCTAAATCCCCAATAGGGAGCGCATCAGTCCGACAGTGATGGACAATAGCGGCCAAAATTGCAGTGTTTTCGAACATTTCCGAGATGCCGGTTATGGGGCCCAGTGACCCGCTCACTCGTCCCCAGCGGCCCCGTTAGACCGTGACTCGCTATCGTTGCTGCCTTGGTCGCTCTCCTTATCCAATTCTTCCAGTTCGTCCGCCAACGGACTGATGCGCTCTTCCAACAAATCCAGATCCTCCAACTGCTGCCGCGCCGGTAACTTCCAAAGACTAGTACCGCACACACGGTCCTTCGTCAGAAGATCGTCGACAAATTGATCCATATAGGTAAGCACAAACGTGTCGCGTACTCGTCGCTTCAGCTTCCGGTAGTCGAGAAGGAGAGGTTCCAGTGTCTTGTAGACGTCGACCGGGTCAAATGTTAAACGCACGTAGAACGCCGCCAGGGCGCGGAGGTATTTGAAATCTCCTCGTTGTCCAAGCACGCCATTTCGAGCCTGCTCCTCCGCGGTTGCCTCTGTCTCTTCGTCACTGCCCGGATCGGTGTAGTTGAGATATTCCAAGATGATTTCACGCTCGGGGTTGAGTTGCAGCAACTTGAACGCAAGACAGAGAAACGGAGTGGGTTTCTCGGCGACACCATATGTACCACCGATAGATGTCAACTCGACCGCGCGATCGCATAGTGTTGCCGCGTTTAAACCGAAGCACTGTTCTTTCCAGTAATATGAGTCTGTAATGCGGTCGCGAACGGCTTTCTCGAACAATGTGGCGGGGTTGACACCGCGGACTAGGGGTCCTGAATAGCCACGACTGTCCAGGAGGGTACTCGCATCAGCACGATGGGACGACATGTTGGAAAGAATCGGAAAATCCCGACTGTGGACGCGACTTCAAAGGTTGTCCGTGAAGAAAAGACGAAAGCTTTCTTGAAAAGTAGGAAGATCAACTGTGGCTGACTGGCTGTGGCGCGGAGGCTGTGCCAAGACGGACTCTTATCGATAGTCGCACCGACAACCAGCCCAAAGGTAAGCGGAGGCGCTGGTGATGCAACATGTCTCAGGTCTGCTATTAGCAGGTTTGGTGGCTTCAAACTACAGATCTTTTATCAAGAGACGATATTGATGTTCATGCCATGTAATTAAAATGTGGATGGTGGTGTCTTATAGTCGTGTATTGCTCAATCCATGCGTCGCTGTCTTTCGTGCATCTCAGGAACATCAACACATACTACCCGAAACGGAAACTAGATTCGACTGATGCGCACTTCAAGTTACACACAATCATGGTGCTTTTGACCTCCTCAACAGTCTCAGTTATCATCTCCACCGGCGTGATCTGCCTATTTACTCTTCTCCTTTTTCTGTCCGGCTACGTCCTTCAGCAGCAGTCCGTCAGAAGCATCCAGAGTGCTCTTCGACCTCCCGGGGTTCCAGACCCGATCACCGGCCATGGATCAGCAGCGTCGTCGTTTCAAAAAAGGGAGCAAAGTCTTCTGTCTGATCTGATTCCTGAGAAGCAGCGAAACCATGTCGCTCATCTTGTGCAGCCTGGAGCAAAAGGCAACTACGCATATCTGCAACTCCTGTCCTCCCCCAATCCATCCGATATCTGCTCCGCAATCCTCTTCTTCAAACAACTCGCCACAAACGGCACAGCAATTAATGACCGATTGTTCATGTACCCCCGAGAATGGGATCTGCTGTCATCAGACGAGGTCCCGCACTCCGTCACAACAGCTCTTTCTCTGCTACGAGCGGCAAGCATCAAGTACAACATCTGGCTTCTCCCTATCGACATGACGGCAGCCACATCCGCAGGCTACGAACCGACAGATACAAAGCTTCTTCGCCTAGGCCAGATCCAGTTTATGCAGTACGACAGTGTACTGTATGTTCGAACACCGGGTCTGTTGCTCGATACTGGCAAGCTAGACGAGATGCTCCTCTCCCGGCCATTGCCCCTGAAATATGACAAGAATCGTCTCGAGTCCTTCAATAATGAAGCGTGGATTCCCATGCCTCTTAGGGCGGACCGTGATGCCGTTCTTCCGCCAGTGTACCTGATCACGGTCAACAACGTGAAGAACGGACAGATTGAGGCGCGAGGCCATATCCCTAACGTGGCTCTCCCGGGATTTGGAGGTCTGGTTACCAGTCCCAGGGGTGTTCACTCACCTGAGGACAAGGGTAATGAACCTGATAATGAGCCAGGGTATGTCTTCTTTGAGCAGGATAAGGAAGGCCATGTTCAGTGGGCGCAGAATCCGTTGTTCGGTGCCTGGAGAGCACAGCAACACGAGGTTTGCGAAGGCGTCGACTTTGATGAAATCACTCATGATCATGATTAGCGACATTTTTTCTTATGATAGTTCTCGTGACCACCTTGCGTGCTCTTGGTTTGGTTCTTGGAAGGTGTTTGGGTATATTTACAGTTTGTGGCGCCGTTATTTTGGGAAAGTAGGAGCGTCCTACCCTACTTACATATATATTTATACACGAATGCAAATACGAAATATCTCATCATTCTTTACCATGTATTTCTTATTTTCGGAAGTGTTTGTCAAATTCTAAGATTTAGAATAAGTAAAGACTATAGTCTAAGACACTGGTCTAATGTCCAATGCCGTTCGTTGCGCTATCATGAACAGAAAGGTCAGCACATGCAATCAATGAAAATGCCATGATCCGTTTCCCCTTAGGATAGCCTCAACAGAATGAAACATTGACACTCTGTCCACCTCAAACGAGGAGCGACCAAGATGGCAGAAATCTGCCGGGATATATTATACATCACAAGAAAAGAAAAAAAAATATCATCGAGGAACATTGATCTCGTAGCCCAGCAAAACCTCGGTGGTATTGCCTTCCCAGCCTCTATTACCACTCGTCGAGATCATAAAACGACAAGCCTGATCAATATATAGTTGTGATATAGTCCCCGTACGGTGTCCAGGAATGATGAGAAAAGGTACAGTGGAATGGCGGCTGACTTGTTCGTGTTTCAAATCGTACAATCGAAGAATATCATGCGACGCACTGGAACAATTGGTCAACCAGATGCCACGAGGTAGGAGAAACAGATACTGTAGTAGCTAACGAGGAAAGACAGAAATAATACTCACCAGACAATATGTCGTCCATTGGGCATCGCCTTGAGCGCCGTCACCGGCCCACTGCCCTGGGGAAATTTGAAGGTCCTCTCAGGCTCTCGTAGACCTTTATGGAGACTGAATTCCTCCACAGTTCCATTTCGACGCCCTGCATAGATATAATTCCCGTCCGGAGACCAGCATGCATTCATGCACCATGGTGGAGAGTTGTAGGGTGTGATCCGAGCAACGGGGTCGGCTTGCCGTCTGTCCCATAATCTGATTGTGCCGTCGATGGATGCGGCAAGAAATGTGTGGTCTGCCACTACATTCGACTCTTGCTGTATTGATGCAGCAGACTCCTGGGCCTGTGAAGGTGGCTTTAATTCTTCCGCGTGTGGTAGACCGTTCGTCACTGGCTGCGACGAAACGTTTGGAAGATCAGTCTCCAGAGATCCGGTCTTTGGGTTCGTCATGGTAGCGTCCGCACTGGCGTTGCCCTCTGCAGTCCCATTTTGTTGATCCATCACGTCAGGCTCGCCATGTGCATCTGCATCAGCATCGGCATCCGGAAGAATGCCGTTGGCAAGAGCTTTGCCGAACTCATCATCCTCATCTATTCCAAACGCATTTCCGGATGACCCCGCACCTTCACCACCCCCACCATCTGCATCTCCGAACAATGAATCGGCGCCGCCAAAGAGTGAATCTGCTGGGGACCCCGCCTGCGGGTTTGCAGCAGCGCCACCTTCCCCTAAATCGTTCGATGTATCCATGAGATTGAAGCTGTCAGTTCCGCTGGCGTGGTAGTTTGATGAGTAGGTGCCATTCGTTTGAGGTAGTTCTGATGCGTCTTTTGGAACAGGAATTGTGGATTCTGGCCGAATCTCGATCGCCGCGATTTGCCCAGCGCTGGCACCAAAGACACGCCGCGTCTGTCCAGTATTCAAATCCCAGTCAAACACTCGCTTATCCCAACTACCAGATAGCAATGACTTCTCGTCTGGGGTCAGATGCAGTACCGAGACGGCCGAAGTATGCTGTCGCAGGAGAGCAATCTCTTTCCCCTCATCATGACGAACTGACTGCAGACGGATACTGCCAGACTCCAACCCAGATAATAGCCATAGGCCCTCGCTATGGCTAGCTAGGGAATAGACCGGTGACACGGCGTTCCCATCCATGCACTCCCAATATGTCATCAACACGCCGGCCTTCATTACGCTATCGACGAAGGGATGTCGTTGCGCCACGGTCAGCATCAATTTGCTGTTGATCGAATCGACCCAATTGAACTTTCGCACATATCCATCAGACCCTCCACTAAACACCCATCGCATGTCGGCTGTCGCTGTTACTGCATTTATCGATGTACTGTGAGGTGCGGCCGTGGTCGGTACTATGTCGTAAGTGGATGCTGTTAGGCATTCCGGACGAACTGGAGGGTGAAAGACGGAGGTCAAGTCGGACGTGAGGTTTGTGGAGTCAGGGGAGGTCATTGAGATATCGGGATTCGCTTGAGATGCGATACCAGGCCCTTCGGATGCGTGGCTGGTATTCGACGGGCTTTCCGCATCTTGATCGGCCTCGGCGTCTCCATCGGCATCATTATCATTTCCTGCGTCATCTGCGTCTCTCATAGCGTCTTCCATTTCATCATCCGAGCTTCCATCTTGCGAGCCTATGTCGCTTGCCAATCAGTAACTCTTTCAAGAATCGTGGGATAACGGGTGAAAGGCTCACCCGCAAGATCTCGATCATCGTCGTCCCCAATTGAGGTCATTTTGACGTCGCAAAACCCCTTGCTCCTGAGATTCTGTGTCGCAAGCACCGAATTTATGATCCGGGGTCTATTCTCGATGCCTCAATCGCTATACAGTCCAAACAGTTGCGATTTGCGCTAGGGCCTAGTGATGCCTCTTGGGTTGGACGGAGGAATTTCTGCGAATCATGGACTCATGGCTCGATTCTGGCATCAAACCACTTCTCCTGGGCTTTGGAGAAATAAATCCAGTAGCCACAGTATGAAACTCTAGAATTGATACGAGGCCTCTTATTCATGCGCCCAACGAAGCCATGAATCCTCTCTCCGACAAGATGGGCCAATATCCATTGAGTTCCCCAGATGTCAGTCACGTTGATTGCCCACTTCCTGCCTAAGGCCACAACTGCCTATCTTGGGTTAGCGCATGATAGGATATCAGAACCGCCAGAAACCTCAGAATATTTTTCTTGTCCACTGATCTCCAATCGAGATTCGATTGCTTTTCAGTTTTCATTTTTCCTCTTTCTTCTTTTTCTCTTTTGACCAAATGGTTTGGGCCTATCAGAAAGAGAGAACAATTGATCTGACCCTGTCAGGGTAGTGAACTATCATAAGGGACAAACAGCGGATTGCAAACAACATGGAACCTTCAACCTGTACAGAGTATAGGCGACGGGATCCGAACAAATAAGTCTGGGATGGCACATTGTACTTGAAGGGATATTCTGGGTCTATCTATCTCAATATATTTTATACATGCAAACTTGTCAAAGGCTGTTCGCATCCAAGCATAGCTGCAAAGTTCTAACCAGTGTCGGCATAGAAAAGTCTCTATATGGGATGGTAACCGCTATGGGAATACAGGAAGGCCTGGAAATAAAGGAAGATATAGTCCTAGGAAAGATGCTGGGCTATTTACTTAGATTAGCGTCTGGAATTGCAGAGACGTTTGTTCAATACAAAAGAGAAGGAGGATGGTGAAGACACCACGACACTGATAGGGCAGCTTGATTTCGTTTGCATCTCAGTAGTATTTCCCTTGTATAATCATCCCATATCTTTCTTTCTCGGAATTGTTGTTCAATGAATGCTGTCACTCTTTCCTTGTCTTTGTGAATGCAAACTTGATTTCCCTTCACTTACTTCTCTGTCCCATTGTACGAGAGCTTCACTATATTTTGCAGCTGTCACCCAGTACTGTCTGATCCTCAACTCGCCGAATAGCAATTCCCTCTTGTCTACAACACTTCAACCTCGTCATCCAACTTATTCCTGTCCTGCACGGACTTTTCTCCTTAAATCCTCAAGACGACAATATCCAAGATGGATCCAGATGATGAACCTGTTACATACTCCTCAGGAGGACTTCACGAGACTCTGACGAAGCTGTCCATCAGTCCCAATCCCAAAGCCAATCTAATGATCAGAGAATATTGCTGCAAACAGGATCATGGACAAGAAGACCCTTGGCTCCAGAAGCCGGAGATACCAACACCTGAGGAGATTCTACCGTTATCTTCGGACGAAGAATGTGTGGAGCTTATGCCTAACAAGATAGAAGGTCCCTGGAGCTCGAAAGAAAGTTACCTGAGAGCACATTATGAGCTCCTTCGAGAGGATGCTGTTGCTCCACTGCGAGATGCTGTGGCTTACGTCCGTAATGACCCGCGGATGGCGGACTCTCAAGCTGTATCGATATATGAGAAGGTCGGTCTTCATTCTTGCTTTGTATCCTTAGGAAAGTCGAATAGCTGCTTACCAGAATCTGGCTTAGGTTTACATGACAGGCATCACATTCGCCCAAACGGGCATTGCGTTCCGTATCCGATTCTCCACTAACCGATCCGGAAAAAAGATTGTTTGGGAATATTCTAAGCGGTTGATCGCTGGATCAGTTGTTGCACTGTCTCCTGCAAGCGACTCTTTCCGAAGCAAGTGTGCCATTGCTGTTGTTGCTGCGAGACCCCTGGAAGGAGTCAAGCAAGAGCCTCCGGAGGTTGATATCTTCTTTGCCCAGCCCGAGGACGCCAATTTCGATCCTCATCAGGAATGGGTTATGGTAGAAGCGAGAACGGGCTACTACGAGGCTATGAGACATACCATGACTGCTCTCCAGAGACTAAACCGCGAAAGGTCAGTGAACATAACTGGAAAAGTAACTCAGAACTAGCTGATCGCGCATCAGGTTTCCTTTAGCAGATCACATATGCGGCCTGGATCCCGATGTTGATGCCCCGGACTATGTCAAAGAATCCCCTCATGTGGACATCCATTCAGTTATTGGCGCAGCCGACGAAGAGAAAAAGATCAACCTCTTGGAAGGTTGGCCAGAATCGCCAACAGGTGATCTCGACAAGTCACAGTGGTCAGCTCTGAAGCAGATCCTTACTAAAAAATTAGCAATAATTCAAGGTCCCCCAGGCACCGGGAAGACACACGTTTCTGTGGTTGCGTTGAAAGTTCTGTTGTCTAACATGCAGCCTCATGATCCTCCTATTATAGTTTCATCTCAAACAAACCATGCCTTGGATCAACTTCTGCGACACATTTCGGTTTTCGAGAAGGACTATATTCGCTTAGGAGGGAGAAGCAACGATCCCGAAATCAAGAAGCGCACCCTGTTTTCTATCAGGCAAAATGAGCCGGCCGTCACAGTCCAGGGTGGCTTG